TGCTTCTAAATTCTTTGATATCGACCTTAACACACAATAAACCGTATATTAAAATCTTAAATTGATTTTTTAATATGTTCAACTCACGTTTAAATGAACACCTCGATTTTCAAGTGTGACGCAGAAATTGTTTGAAACAAACTTCAACCGAAAACCATATCTCAGGGTCACATAAATATCGTTGAGCTGTTTTTAAATATCTCAGCTTTTGTCATGAGATTTATACAAAAAAATAAAACAAACTTCCACAGCGTACACACATACGACATCTTTGTGCAAAATTTGATGTCTGTAGCTCTTATAGTCTCTGAGATCCAGGTGTTCATACGGACGGATAGACGGACAGACAGGCAGACAGGTCTACATCGACTCGTCTTGTCGTGCTAATCAACAATATTTATACTTTGTGTTGTCTGGATTTTACATTCGCACTAAACTAGTATACCCTTTTAGCCTTTAATTAAATTAAATTATAGTAACTCAAATTAAATCATACTAATATAACCATTGACTTTTACTTCTATTGAGTTTCGCCCTGAACGTATCGGTTTTGATGAGACTTCAAATTGGACATGGATTTTAATCTTGGTTAAGTTATCTTTGTATATCACAAGTTATTCCACTCTGAGTGATTTTTCCTCTGATGAGTAATATGGAAGGTATACTAATTATAGAAGCTTTATATGATTAGTAATAATCTTGGTCTGTGTATGGAGAATACGATTCTACATATCAAGGGTGGGATGGTATGCCTCGAACTACCCTAAAGTTGGACATTCCAATTATGTAGTTTTAAAAAGTTGGAAATATGGTGCATGAAATATTAATGTGAAAAGCTTAATGTGAAAAGCTTAAAACACATTTGTAATGGTTTGAACAATTCTAATTTGTGGAGGTTGTTGTAACCAAATGCGAGTTGAACCTTGAGAGGGAGATCGGAGCTCTTCCTTTTTAAAAATTAACCAATTTGCATGATGATGAATGTTTTGACTTAATGTTATATCAGGCAAGCTGATCTCGTACTTGCGCACTCGTACATACATACTCGTATGATAAGTGAAGTTCACGAAAGATAGCATTAGAAATTCATTACCATTTTTTGATAATGCCCAAAATTGATAAGTTAATCGTCCCATGCCGGTTCCTATAAAAGCGGACGACTTTCAGCAGAAAGCTATCAGTTTTCTGAAAATTCTAAACATGAAGGCTTTCATCGTTCTTGTTGCCCTGGCTCTGGCCGCTCCCGCTTTCGGTCGCACCATGGACCGTTGCTCCTTGGCCAAGGAGATGTCCGCCCTGGGTGTCCCCCGTGACCAGCTCGCCCGCTGGACTTGCATTGCCGAGCACGAGAGCTCCTACCGCACCGGTGTTGTGGGCCCCACCAACTCGAACGGCTCCAACGACTACGGTATCTTCCAGATCAACAACTACTACTGGTGCCAGCCTGCCGACGGCCGCTTCTCCTACAACGAGTGCAGCCTGAGCTGCAACGCCCTCTTGACCGACGACATCACCAACTCTGTTCGTTGCGCCCAGAAGATCCAGGGCCAGCAGGGCTGGACCGCCTGGTCCACCTGGCACTACTGCAGCGGCTCTCTGCCCAGCATTGACAGCTGCTTCTAAATTCTTTGATATCGACCTTAACACACAAATAAACCGTATATTAAAATCCTAAATTGATTTTTTAATTTGTTAATCTAACGTTGATGTTCAATGATGACGTAGAAATCTCTTTTAAGGAAATTTCAACCGAAACCCATTTCTCGCGGTCACAGAAATCTTTTTCAATTGGTTTCAAATATCTCAGCTTTTGACAAGAGATTTGGTCAGAAAAAACACAAAGAAGTTTTGCGACATAAAAACAGTCATAGAAATATAAATAAAATTGTTTTGCTCAACAATCTGCATGAAAAATATTTTATATTTCGCCTTTTCAACTTATTACTAGATCTTTAGTTGAAAACCTAGCATCCACACACAGGAACGAAAACAACCCGACAATAAAAATACCAAGTTGATCCTAATTCAACATTAAATATTTGAAACTTTTTACTTTTCTGAGTTGAATCCTATTTCTTGAATTGAACGAAAGTAAAAATAAAACTTATTTTTGAAGTACCAATAAACTGAGTATTAATTAAATTTACGTAAGAAATCTTAAGAAATCTGTAACACCCCTTATTTATAGGCATCTTGTATTTTATTTTATTATTCTTCTAGCTATTAATATTAGTTCTAGCTATTTTTAGATATTTGTAGCGGCGTTTCTAGCCATTTTCCAGCAAATGTTCTTGATATTTATATCAATTTTCTAGTGGCTTTCTATGTATTTTGAAGCGAGTTTTCTAGCCATTTTCTAGTTGCTCTTTAAGCTGTCCAGGCTAAGCTATTTGCTATCCACTTTTTAATTATTTAAAGTATGCTTCTAGGCATTCTAGGAGTTCGTGAGTCTACATTCCAAGGATGGTGTGGTATGTTTCGAATCACCTTAATGGTGCACATTCCTGAAACCTTAAGATTTTGTTATATTGCTTAAATGTTGGAAATATCTGGTTCAACAGATATACCGCACATTTTCATATTAAAAAAATTAAGTTACATTTCTAATGGATTGAAGCTTGAGAAGGAGAGTTTCGAAGGTCCTCCTTTTTAAAAATTAACCAATTTGCATGATGAGGAATGTTTTGTCATGTTTGATAGTGTGGTGGCGACTTAATGTTATATCAGGCAAGATGATCTCCTACTTGCGCACTCGTACATACATACTCGTATGATAAGTGAAGTTCGCGAAAGATAGCAGTAGAAATTCATTACCATTTTTTGATAATGCCCAAAATTGATAAGTTAATCGTCCCATGCCGGTTCCTATAAAAGCGGACGACTTTCAGCAGAAAGCTATCAGTTGTCTGAAAATTCTAAACATGAAGGCTTTCATCGTTCTTGTTGCCCTGGCTCTGGCCGCTCCCGCTTTCGGTCGCACCATGGACCGTTGCTCCTTGGCCAAGGAGATGTCCGCCCTGGGTGTCCCCCGCGACCAACTCGCCCGCTGGACTTGCATTGCCGAGCACGAGAGCTCCTACCGCACCGGTGTTGTCGGCCCCACCAACTCGAACGGCTCCAACGACTACGGTATCTTCCAGATCAACAACTACTACTGGTGCCAGCCTGCCGACGGCCGCTTCTCCTACAACGAGTGCAGCCTGAGCTGCAACGCCCTCTTGACCGACGACATCACCAACTCTGTTCGTTGCGCCCAGAAGATCCAGGGCCAGCAGGGCTGGACCGCCTGGTCCACCTGGCACTACTGCAGCGGCTCTCTGCCCAGCATTGACAGCTGCTTCTAAATTCTTCGTTACCGATTTGATCACAACTATAAACCGCATTTATAAACGTTAAGATAGTCTTTTTATTTCATTATCTGAACTTAAGAAAGCATTGTCGTAGGCTAGGCCCTCGTTACATACAAACATAGTACATATGTATGTAAGTATGTATCTACATTGTTTATTGGCATTGGTTCGAGACTGGCCAAGTTTTCACACGTTTCAAACGAAACCTCGTGGAGTGGCTCTCTTATCTGCAATGCTTTTAGGTGGTTCGGTTCGGACAGCCAGTGCGTCGCCGACTCTTGATTGGGTAAAGAGTACACACGTCGTCGCGTCATGATCTCAATTTGGTACTCGACCACAAAAGTTTTTCATTTCAATTGCTTATCAAACTTTTACTTGATCTTTCGACTCTTTTTGTGTTTATTTTTTTAGTCGATGTTGGTTTCTCTAGGAAAAAACGAGTTTACTGACATTGATTGAATGGATTGCAGACTGCAAGTGGCGCTAGGCGATGAAATGTGCTGCTGTTGTTGTTGTGGGAACAAGTCTTTACGGCCGGCCGTTTACGGTCTCCCAATAACCGCTAACAAGCATGCAGAAGTCAGCAGTTAGTTAACCTTCAGTGAGTCATGTGCATACCAAGGCGTTCTCCGGACACACCTACATACAGTTGTATGTATGTATGTATGTAGCAAGTACGTGTATGTAGCAAGCGGCAACAGCACACATTACTTGTAGAACTCAACATGCAGCGCTGAAGCTTGAAACGTGTCTGATTGCTGATTGATACGAAACAATGCAGTTTGCATAAGGTGCGTCATAATCTGGACATTAACTTTTGGGCGCGCACAGACACACATTCGGACGCATATATGTATGTACAGATGGTTGTAGGTATGTTGTAAGGCCCGTAGTACCGTTACTTTTTGTTAAGCTCGACTAACGGTTCACATTGAACCCAATAGACACACATGAGCTCAACGGCAGATTGAAAACATTGTAGAAACTTTTATCTCTTTGGCGTTGAAATGCGTATGCGTTTTGGTGTCTGACAGTGAAAGTGTACGCCTATTTTTTCCTATATTAAAATGTTAATTTTAGTGCTTTTATTTAGCAACCAACTGAAAAGAAACACGAAATTAAATAACAAATCAGTGACAGCAACGTCAAACAAATCAATACCATGCCACAGAGGTGTTCAGTTGACGCTGCGCCGTTGCCGCCGATTGATGCCGCAAGGAAGTTGGCGCCGTACCGCCAGACAAACTTGAAAGATCGAGCGACTGAACGGCTGAACGGCCGCCTCATCGGGCGGGCTGCAGGTCGGGCGACCCACATGCAGAAAACCAGGCGCGTTCGTTGACAGCAAGCTGCATAATCGCCTGCGGATCTGCAGACAGCATAGGTCCAAACACCTGTATGGTGGACAGTGTCCGCCACTTCCAAGTGAAATAAATTGTTGAAAATGCTTAATAAGCTGGGTAGCTTGTTTTTCCGGTGCGTTAGCGTTGCTTTGCGTTGAATTTGTTAATTTCGTGGCCAGCGTTTTTAATACCCGAGTCACAGACGAGTTGGCAAGAAGTTTATTAATAATTTGTTTATGTGCATAACAAATTGGTAATGTCAGGCTAGTACATTTGTCTAACAACTCTTTTTCTTTTTCATTTACAGTGACACTTCCACACTGCAACGACCCCACAGTCCGCACAGCTCGCACAAATTCAGGATGGCGCCGAGTGTTTGTGAAACGTCTCCCAAACTGCCGCCCCACAATTCAAATGCAGCTGCTGGTGTCAGCTCCAATGGTTCCGGGCCAACAAAGTGTGGCAGCAACAGCTTAAACGGTTCATTGGCATCTTACAAAATTGCCGGATCTGAGCAGAGTTGGCCGCAGGCTCCAGTCTTCAGTAAGGTATGTACATACTACAAACGAGTAAATCTGCTCTATAAACGTAATGATAAGTATCTCATTTACTAAGTGATTGATAAAATCTGGTTTTTGTTGACTTTTCAACAAAAGACCATATCATTACCGTAAGAGAAGCTTGAAAAGTAAACGTTTACGAAACTAGATTGACATTTTCTGACGGAACAGATTCAGGTATTCATCAGCAATCTGTTTTAGAACTTACTATTTTCAACTGTCCAAACTTAACCTTTTAGATTATTTCAATTTTTACAAGCTCAGACATTATATCATACATATCCTTTGTTTTCCCCACATTCTCGGTGTCGAAAAAATATAAAACACCCTATTAACAAACAAATTTTCGTACGAAGAATCTTTCTTAAGCACATCGTTTCCATTACAGTAATATGATACAGTCTTTTCTAACATAATATCTGTGTGCAGGCAGCTATAGATTCAGATTATGCTGATCATATATTAATGTGCTCATAGCGGGTGGTTAACTAATCTTTCTTCTTGATGTTTCTTATGAGACAATATGCAAATTAGACGAGTTAATTATTGATATAATTATTATTATAGAGCCAGACATAAGACTGATTCTTCTACAACTCCTTTACATACCTAAAGCGTAGAATTGTAGATATTCTCCATTTTAATTCATTGCTTACGATAGTTAAATGGTATCTACGTTTGAAATAAAATGTACGCAATCAGTGATCCGATTAATAATTGACTTAAACTTTGACCCCGCTTAGGAAAATCAGCGCCCACCAGTCTACAATCCAGAAGACTATGTGGTGTCGTTGAAGAAATTTACCAAAGGAAGTGCTTCGGCTAAGGTGCACTCCATTTACGAAGTCACGACAAGTGGCACCACCAAGGAAGAGGTTTACAAATCAGCAACGCTGCCGGCAAAGCATTCGGACTACAAGTTAGTAATACTATCCAATATTACCACATACCATTCCCTTTACGATGCTGCATTTCCAGAAGCCCAATACCGGCGCCCCCTGAGAGCGACAGTGAAATGTCTCTCCGTCAGTTTGGCTCCATAACCGATTTACTAACCAAACTACGCGCCGACTTACGAGTGTCGTTTCCCAGGTAACTCAAATAAATTAATTTTTAATAATTATTGATGATAATGAGTTCCTACAGTTTTGTCCAAGAATTTGTGGCCACGCCTTTAGATGGCATCAGCCATCTGCTGGAGGTACTGCGCGCCATACAACTAGCGCAAGCCAGCAATGCGCCCGCTCCTCTAGCAAGCTCAAATACCATGGCCATGTCACGTAATCCGCAGAGCTACCAGAGACGTGCTTTGCTTGATGAACTATCCTGCCTGTATGTATTGGAGTGGCTTGAATTGTGTATTTGTAAACTAAGCGATCTACCTCTTGCAGACAATGCCTGAGCATCTGCTGTTCACGATCTCTGGATGCCATAGCCCGTCTAGGCAATACACCAGTGGGCCTCATGCCATTGGCTTCTTCTGCCACCGGTCAGGGTATTCGAGCTCGCATTCTGGCACTGCATTTACTTGCGGCTGCCTGCGATAAACAGGCCTTCGGAAGTGGGTCTCAGAAGGTGGTTGCCGCCGGTCATACTGCAGTTTCGGAGGCCATGTCTACGTTACGTCTACGTTGTAGTGAACCAGTGCGATTTCGGCTTCTCATTGGCATCCTCAACAGCGGAGGTGGTTCCGGGGAACTACAGTGCGCTGGAGTGAAGTGAGTACAGAATGCCATTTTCAAATGTTCATCAAAAATAATTGTTTTCTTTAAAAGATTCCTCAACACATTCATTGAGAGCGCCATCAATATGCAACAGCGACTTTACATCCAAGCGGAGCTCTTCCAGGCTGGCTTCGAGCCTACCACATTAGCTAGGGTGCGTATTTATTGAGTCCTTGAGATGCACAATACGCAATGCTTGTAATCTTCATTTCCCCCCACAGACAATATCCTCCTCCTCGCCTTGGTTGGACTCGTTGCGCAGTGAAATCAAACACTTTAATGAGCTCTATATCGATGTGGATAAGATGATTCGTCAAGCACGGGATGCCGATCGCGTGCGTAGCCAAATGGTTATATTGGAGCGACGTGTGCAAATTCTGCATGAGGAGAAGGCCGTGCTGACATCGATGGAGCGCCGCTTGCAGGAGCGCTGTGCTGAGCTGCAGCGGGAGATCTTTCGCCTGCAAGGAGCACAGCAGGAAAGTAACTTTAAGCCCGTAGAATCACATGCACCTGTGGCGCTGCCCCGCCAGGTGCCGCCCACATCGCAGGCGCCAAAGAACAAACAGATCTGCTCAGAGCACGAAGATGAGGGGATCAGCAGCTCCGAGACCGGTGCGTCATTGAGCCCCGTGCCGATTTTGGTGCTGCCTCAAAAGCCACCGAAGGTAAATACTCAACGTCCAAAGCAAACAAGCCATGATGAGGATGATGATGCAGCAACCATTGAGGATGTGATCGAGGAGCTCGACAATATTGTAAGCGAAGCAGAAAAGCAAATATCGGGTCTGAGTATGAATACGAGGAAACATAACAAAACAGTGGAGAAGGAAATCGTGCCCGTTAACATTGTGCCTCAGCCACCGCGCAAATCGCGCTCCCTAGCACATCTGGTGCCGCGCACAGAGGGTTCCGAGCAGGAAGGCTCCGAGTATGGCATGGCAATGCTGCAGAATCAAGGGGATTCGGAAGCAGCCGAACGCTTGGCAGCCATGCACACGTTCTTCGACGAGGGTGACTACGACATGCCCGAGACAGACAAGCCGTATCCCATCGAATCACCCGACATACCCGAAGAGACACACACAGCCGCTATTGCCTACAATTCAAACACAAATCGTGAGTTGCTCGACGTCATCATGAACGCACGCCACAGTGATGATGATCCGACCATGAACGCTCTGCGAAAGAGCTTATCTACACAAGCCGATGTCCAAGCATCTGCACTGCAGAACAGCAACGAGCGCTGCTCCAGCGGCAATGCACGGTCACGGAAACCACCTGCTCCTGCACCACCGGCACAACAATTTAATGGTGTCTTCTTTATGACCGGCATGAACACCCCACAGAAATATCCCAAGCCGGACATCACGGCCGCACTTCAGGCACGGCGTGTCACCAAGAATGTGGAGCGTCTGGAAGCTGCCTTTGCGTCGCACGAGGCTCTCAACGAAGCCACAATTGTACGCGAGAAGTCACGCAGCAATCACCAGATCTATTTCAGCAGCAATCCCACCATGCGGCTGCACGAGCTCGGTAGCAGTGTCTATCCCAGTTCGGGAAACTTTGTCTCGGCTAACGCACCCACTCAGAATGCCTCCGCGCGCACTCGCTCGTATACACAAGGTTCCAAGGTGACGGACCTGCCCTCCGGCCTATACTAAAGCCACACACCCTCTCGACTTCTGTGCAATACGTATTTCACGGATGCAGCTCATAAGATAAACTATATACGAGTATTTATAAAACCACATTTATTGTAGTTAGTCTCTAGAATCGGTGGCAGTTAAAATCGGGTTCATTATGCTAATTAGTTCTACATTTATTTCATATGAAAACTATTTATAAGATAAGCTATTCAACAAACATTTTCTCTGCAATAAAATAATACGAGTACTTATATTTAAAATAAAATTGTTGCTTATCAAACTCTTCAAATAGTAGTCTCGGGAACTTTATTTAAATATCGGACACAACTAAGCATATTATCTTAATACTCTGTTCTAAAAAAAAGTGTGTGTCAGAGCAAAATGCGATAATTCACTCCTTATTGTTGTATTGGAATGACTTAAATACCGCTTTAAATAGCTAGAAAAGGTTGCCGATCCAGCCTCAGACAACGCAGTCCTCATTCGCATCAAAAGTATTTCTGGAATCACCGAAATCCACAAGAATCAGCAACTCTTAAAAATCATAACCCCCCAGGTAGTCATAAATAAGCAGAAGGCAAATAAACTGTTGACGATTGCGTATTTATTTTCATGTACCATCGTGCAGCAATGTCTTTTGAAAGAACACAAGTTCGTTTACATTTCAGATTGCACCGTTACAGCTGATTTACATTCATAATTTTAATTTCGCCAGCTGGTCTACCAGCTGTTCTTTTATGTGCGCCTGATACCGTGCTATTGGTTTCGTCACAGAAAAGGTTGCCGACTCAGAATTCACGTGAGAAGTTTCACTTGAAAAATATAAAATGTGCGCGGGTCGGGTGCATGATATAGCTACGAAAGTACGTGTCTAAACATACGCAATGATCGTCTTAAACTCAATAAGCTATAATAGTTGGTACTAGTAATTGCTCGCATTGCTGTAAGATTCGTCAGTTTTCTTGCATCAACTAAAAAAGCTGCTGTTCAGCTCTCCAAGTCTTCTATTAATCTACTCGTAGTAGCATACATATTTAGTTAACCGGGCTGATCTGACTTTTGTTTATCCTGCACCCGCTTCTTTCCACCAGAGCCAACTAACATACACTGTACGATATAGGACGCAGATTTTAGATTGTTCTGCGGCCTTGTGATAAACTTGATATTCGGACCGATTGTTCTCGATGAACTTGATCTTAAATTTTCCAAAGAGGTGAAATTCCGTGAGTAAATACAATGCATTCATTATACTTGTACCATCATAAAGGTTAAATTGTAGAGAACTTCAAAGAAATAACTAATCGCAGCCGATTAGCTAAAGCGCACCTTATCAAAGGTAATAATAATAGAATGTATGTCTAGAATATGTTTAGTAAAAAAATGACTTTTAAATTGCATCTAAACCAAGTTAAACGATCGCCGAGGCTCGATCCATTTGCCAGTTGTGGTTGCGGTAGTCCGTTGCTAATCAACATTTTCAAAGATAACGAAGTCGAGCAGTAAGTCTTTCCCTTGGTATTGCTTAACCGAGAAATTATAAAGTGCTCTTGGCGATTATAGCTGAACATGAACTCAACCGTCAATATACGTGCCTTGCCGGCAGCTTTGCAACTGGTAGCCGTTGAAGAGCTTAATGAAGTGCCACATCGCTTACCGGCAGATATTGAGGCCCTTCGGGAATGGGTCCTTAAGCAGCCGCACCTGTGTTCCTGCACCGAAGATCAGTTCCTGCTGGGCTTCTTGCGCGGCACAAAGTTCAGCGTAGAGAAGGCGAAGCACAAAATCGATCGATTCTACACATTGCAAGCGGCCATACCGGAAGTATTCAATGAGCACCGTCTGGCCGATGATCCGCAGGTTCTGGAGATCATACGCATGGGGTTAGTTAGTATATATCTTAGATACACGAAAATAAACTCGCGCTGTGTACTTGATAGGGTGATATTGCGTATTCCCTTGGAAGAAGGCGACACCGGTCCGGCAGTGACCATCATTCGGGCTGGATCTTATGATACCAACAAGTATAAGTTCCAAGATATTATTCGAGTTGGTTCCATGTTTGGCGAGATTATGATGTTCGAGGACGATAACGCCACTGTCAGTGGCTATGTGGAGATGATGGATATGGCTGGTGTGACCGCGGCCAATCTTTTTTCCTTGCAGCCCGACCTCCTTCGCAAGTTTTCGGCATACGCGGATGAGGCCATGCCCACTCGGCAAAAGGGTATACATTTCATTAATGTGCCAACGGCATTTGAAACCGGATTCAACACTCTTAAGTCCTTTTTCCCTGGAAAAATTAAGAGCCGCGTAGGTGTAATTTTTTGCTCTCCCAAGTATTCTTAATCAATTTGCTTTTGTTTTTAGGTTTCTGTTAGCTCTGATCCCGACGCAATTTTTCAACATGTACGGCCGGAATACTTACCGAAGGAGTACGGTGGTACCAAGGGCACCATGCAGGACATCATTGCTGCTATGGAGGCCAAAATCCTTACATACCGCGACTACTTTATTGAGTCGCGCAATTTTGGCACAAACGAAAAACTAAGGGATATTAGTGAGACGACCATTGACTATGACAGTCACTTCGGCATTGATGGTTCTTTCCGCAAGTTGGATATCGACTGAGCTATAAAAACTATAACCTTATTGACTGCGTTGGCTATCGGATCTTCGCTCTCTTTCCCTATCGCAATTCACTAGCTCTTAAATATCTGTTATCATAATCAGTTTTCAAAGTTTGGTAAATATAGAAGGGGCTTCTAATCTTATCGAGCTTGCATTTATTGTGGCAGCCAGAGCACAGACATAGCTAGCAGCATGGAAAGCCCTTCATTTTTAAATTCGGACTCCACAAACAAATCAGCGTTTGGGGGAAAAGCACGCACTAAATATGCCATCCATTCGCCCATTAAGTCCGGAATTGCAGAAGGTTGCAATTGAGCAGCTGAATGAAGTTCCCGATCGAATAGATGATGACATTGCAGCGCTACGAACCTGGATCGAGCAGCAGCCGCACTTAAAGGCGCGCACCGACGATCAGTTCCTGGTCACCTTTCTGCGTGGCTGTAAGTACAGTTTGGAGAAGGCAAAGGCCAAGATCGATCGATTCTACACACTACGCACAAGGTACCCGGACTATTTCACGGGGCACAATGTCAACGTCGATGAACTGATTAAAATCTTTAGATTGGGGTAAAATGCACCTTTTACCACCTTTGGTTGGCAACTGATTGTAACTTGATTTTTATTGCAGCGTAATAATTTATTTGCCACAGCCACTAAAAGACAATGGTCCACGTGTGGGCATCATGCGAATGGCCGCCTACAATCCAGACGAGTACAACTTTAGCGAAATAAATCGAGCTGCCCAAATGATGCAACAGATCGTGCTTAATGAAGATGATGAGGCCATTGTCAATGGCGTGGTACACATCATGGACTTGGCCAATATCAAGGCAGGTCATCTCTTACAGATGACACCGTCTCTTGCCAAAAAACTCACCGTCTACCAAGAAGAGGGTGTGCCGCTGCGACCGAAAGGCGGACATTTTATTAACACGCCTGGTGGTTTCGATAAGGTTTTTAATTTTGTCAGGCCCATGTTGTCAGAGAAGCAACGGAATCGAGTATGTTAAGTATCTTCGCCCAAGCTAAATTTGATTAACAATAATCCCTTATAGATGTACATGCACGGTTCCAATTGGAATGCATTGTTCGAGCAAATTCCCCAGAAGTATTTACCAATTGAGTATGGTGGCGAAAATGGCTCCATACCTGAAATTATTAAGAGCTGGGAGGAGCGTATATTGGCCATGAAAGACTACTATGTGGAGGAGAACAACTACGGAACCGATGAAAAGCTGCGGCCTGGAAAGCCCGTAGATTTTGAAAATCTTTTTGGGCTTGAGGGTTCCTTTAGAAAACTGAATGTTGATTAATACATATTTCTGAAGTCATTGAAAATCGATATACATTTCCAAAATTATTATCGGTCTGTTTGTCTCCTATAAGTACTATATGTATTCCAAAAACCTATTGATTGTAGTATTTAGTCGGTGTCCACAAATAAACCTCCCTCATCAGCTGAGTTATATTTTGTTGTGATAAGCCATTAACAGCTGAGTTTATCAGCTAGTACAATAGCTATAATATAAAAATACATAAACAAACATATGTATGTATGTAGTACAATATGTATGCAGATAAGATTATACAAATTCCTTATGTACTTATTTCTACCAAAGTGATTTGAAGTCCCTAAACTAGTATGCGCAAGTTATTGAGAGGGGATCTCGGCACTTTCGTCTCCATTCTTATTGTTCATATCTTAACACATTTTTAACAACTAAGACAATGAATACGGCTTACAATATTGGATAAAACACGGACCGAACAGGCTGTGCATTTTTAAGAAATTTTAAAAGTAAGAATGAGACACAATTTGTTCCCGACTTCCGTGGACACAACCAGGAGTCTAATTGAAAATTGTGTAATGCCAATTTATTGGAATAGCATTATGTAATCTTTCTTTCAGCGATTATTATATGCCGTTCATTTATAGAATATTTATGGTACTGTGTCTATTTGTTGGTCTGCTTTGTGAGGATACTGCTTGTGGTTGTGATTTTAAAATGTTGTGGGTATTATATTTTCATAAAAGTGTATTGCTATACTTCTGTAAAATTAAACATAATAAAGGCCCTTTTCGTATTCTGACACAATCCATATCCATCCAAATATAATTAAATCTACAATGAACCTGGCACTTTGGTGTTATTTTGATTTTCGTTCCGTTTATTTCAATGTCAATTTAAATAGACTTGATTTACTTTCACACCCGCACACACACCCCACACACAAATGTACACACAACCCCCAATCTTTCGAGTTTACCCAAAATCTACAAAATGCAGCGCCGCTCCTTAACTATTGTTAAGCCAAGAGATCAGTTCGTAGCACCAAAGCCAAAACAGAATGGAAGCACCACACCAAGCAATTTAAGGCCAAGTCCTACCGTTCGTATGAGCCACTCCATAGTGCGGCCGACCCCCAAGCTCAAGAAATCCAACAGCAGTAGAAGCAGTCAAAAGGAGTGATCTCGCGAATATCATTATTTATAGACACACCAAATTTAATTCGTAAGACTTTTGTCCACAAAGCATTCGAAGACAACTCCAGCAGCTTCAACGCTCGTGAATATTAATCTACATAGTATAGTATAGTATACATTTTTATGCAAAATAGGGCACCGGATGTGAATATCTACGAGAGTTGTTATGTTTTATACGCATATGATATAAACGGTTGCTATAATGAGGCCTGGGTAGAACCGCTGGAGAATAAAGAACGCAAACTTTGTGGCCTGAGGGCGATCGCTCTTTAAATGCATTGCGCGTGTTAAGCATCTGAGAAGGTTGGATGTGAGTACTGGTTGATAAATTGATGACCCATTAAGTATAATCTGGCTCAGCATTATGACATAAATCGAACTAGACTACAAGTAGACAAGCGGACAGAGAGCTGAACACACATGTCCCAATCAATTTAATCATGCTGATTAATAATATAGACTAAAAACCTATACGTTTGCACTAGCCTAATACACTCTTTTTACATTTCGGGTTTAGGATATACCAACATATACGCCAGACATGGTTGTCCCTTTTCGCAAATGAACACGTGGTGAATATGAGCAATACTTTGTACATATACTTTTGTATGTGTACTTCGATTTTCCGGATATACTACCGGATGTCCTATATGTGTTACTCTAGAGACGTTCTTTGATGGTGAATTTGTATTCGATGTGGTAAGATCTAATAAAGACAGCTGCAAAAAGGCAAAAGTTGATTGTATTTATTTTCTGTAAGTAGTGAAGCTATGGATTCGATGACTCCTATCCACCATTTCGAAGATCGGTACGATTAAAGGCACACAGTAAATGTTAATGGTTTTTAAAACAACGCTTTCAAATAGTGCTGGATCTCTAATCTATGAACAAATAATGGTGCCCGTCGCACAATAATCTTTTGGACTGGTTAGCTGCCAGGCGGAGAAGTGGAGGACATCTATCGATAATAAAAAGCCACTTTGAAATATTACAAGGATTGTTCAAAATTATTTCCACAACCCCACAATAAGTCACAAAATTCATACATTAAAAAATAACATGCAACAAACGTTCACACCATAGAAAAAATGATATCTTTTTGGGGGTTTGAGCGAGAGATGGGCATAAATCAGGAAGATCGGTGTTATGTCGATAAAATCCGCATAGGACATGGACTTCGTGGAAGTTTGATTTCTGGAAGATGTGGCTTGACCAGTTGATTCCGCCAATCCAGCTAGTGCTAATTTTTCGTAATGTGAATTCTGATCGTGATAGAACTGTAAAGGATTTTATGGCCTTGAATTTAATCTGCCATCATGTTGCTGCTTTTGTCATCTCTGTACTGAGACAAAAGCTTAGCGTCACTAGACCTTTGATTAAATTTTGAAATATAATAAGATATATACTACAATTACAATCTTGTAACTATATCGTAATAAACAAAAAAGGGTTTGGTAAAAACTTCTATTTATATAGTATAACGGCAAGCAAACTGCTTCAAATGGACTTGAATGTGTTCAATCTTACTTATGCTTGTGGAAATCTGATATTTCTTGAATATAAAAGTAATGCTCCTGTTTAAAATAAACCAGCATTTAGCTTAGACTACATGGGAATTGCAAGTTAAATAAAATAAACTCACTCCGCAAGCAAGTGAAATATAGTATCTCAAGAGAGCTATTACAATACAAATGAGAAACGAAAGTTTTCCAAAAGGCCGACAAAGCACGAGACTCCGAGTCTTTCGAAATACGTGTACCCCAAAAATATCGCTGAGGATGGCGAGAGCGGGCTCAGTACACGTCGAATAGCCGCCTGAATAGGTCTGTCGGTCGGAGATCTTCGGGAACGTGAGTGCTAGAGGCGCGCCAGTGGAAACTCTGAGATTTTCTTTGTAGTGTGCACAGCATGAATCAAATATTTTCTATCGCTCGGCAGGCAACTTAGCGGTGATAAATGTAATTGTTGAACCACAATTATGCCATCAAACGTAATAAGTCAATAAACTTGAACATTTCATGGCGAATGGGGAATTCTATTCGAACATTTTAAGAACTTGCGATGTACAAAACAAATACGGCACGTAGCGTCCGTCTGGCGTCGTGCATTTCAAGAAATTCCCAACAAAATGCTGAAATCAGGCAAAATTCTTCAGTTGTCTGCTGAAAATCCAACGGATAGGGGCCGGGCCGGTGGTGCGGAGTGGTGCGGAGTGGTGCGGAGCGGTGCGGTGCCAGTTGTCTGTGCGTGTGTTGTGTTCGGCTGTGGTCGCGGTGATGACGAGATGCGTCCAATTGAGATGGATGCCGATGCCCCACTGCTGCCCAAAATAGTTTTCATGGAGTAGCCTGTCCGAATGGCAGGTTGTTCAAATGCCCCCCACCCCCCCAGCACCCTCTGGCCACATAAGAAAATAAAAACCAAACATATAAATATTTAGACAAATATTAAAATGAATGTATTCTTCAGACGCTTGTGTGTGCGTGTTTTCAGTTCATCTTCTGTGTATAATTTGTTGTCCTTTACTTTTCGTTTACCTTATTGCGATACATCGTGTATTTTTCTTTGCTTTTATTTTATTTACGAGCAGTGAAGCGCAAAATAAGTGCCGCTGACGCCGTCGACGGGTCCCCGCCCCAGCCAATAGAGCCGGCAACAGAATGTCGGGCAGACGGACACAATCGCTCCCGCCGCACATGCAGGAGCCGCAGAAGCCGGAACGGGGGCGCTGCGTGGCGGCCATCTGCTTCTCCTGGAAGGTGCTCACCTGCGTCGTCTCGCATGTAATGCTGGTGCTTCTGGTTGTCTCGTACTGTGTGGGGGGCGCCTATTTGTTCCAGCACTTGGAGAAACCGCATGAGATCGAAGTAAGCGCAAAATCTTGAATAAACGCCTCCGTTTTTCCAATCTGTGCCATTTTCCGTAATTAACAAACGCTGGAAATATTCTTTAGCCACTGAAAAGTCTATGCATGATATATTTATGAATATACCACAATATCCTCAATATTTTATAGAGCTAACTTAGAAGCGATCCGAAACTAATTAGTCTTATAGTTATCGAAATTTATATATAACGTTAATTATGTCTCACTATATTCAAATGTTGAAATGAAATAGAACAACCGCATTTGTTGTTCATCAGATCTGCGACCTGTACCATTAGTTAGCTAAAGGTCTTTGGTATCTAGCGGAATTTATTAACGTTTACTATAAAAACATAGAGTTTTCAAGGGTACATCGGCTCATACTTTATACACCGTTCTTCTCGTTAAAATGGAGCACTCGATTGATATCGATCCATGATTCTATTCACTATTTAATTAATATACATATGTGTACTTGTTCCTTTTCCGTAACAGGAAAATATACATATGCAGATCGGTGAAAAAATGCAAACGCTATCGCTGATATACATAGTGTACGGCAGAATCGTCGGAAACCTTACATAACTTAAAGAGAATATCTAAACAGCTATTATTGATTAATGTAAAAAGTGTTCATCTGGATTAATCATTAATCGAGACCCATATCATTAATATTCTTCCAAATTAATTGACCAATTTTACGATGAATATGACGACCAAATCTTTCATGAAGTTCATTATCTGCAATAATTGAAAACTTTACAACGACTTCAGGAAAAGGTTCTTAAAAGTTGAACGAGTTCAAAGTTATTTAAAATTGGAATATAACTTTAGATTTGTTCTTTTTTTTGGGAGTTGTGCCTCATTATTCATATGCCCGATATGGGTCCGCAACTGGAAACAACAATATATATCAAAATATTTTATTGAGACCCAGCTTGATTTACGAGCTTATGCTAAATACTCGTAAATATATTTTGTTCCATGCTGAGCAATCGAATTATGATGGCCATATGGCTAGTTTAAATGATATCAAAAAATAGACATGCTATATATATATATATGTTTTGCCAGTTAAAGTGCGGTACGGGTTATAGTTTTGACTCGATATGTTAATGTTACGCGTAGATAAGTTTAAGTTTTCAGCTTTATATGCTAGTAAAGACCAATGCCTTCGCAGGTAAAACGAGACATCCAGAACCTGCGATCCAATCTAACCGAGAGAATTTGGTTACTCTCCGATGATGCATCCGTCCTGCGCGAGAACGACTGGATGGCCAATGTGAGCAAGCATTTGGCCAGCTTTGAAAAGCAAATACTCACAGCCATCAAGACAAATGGATGGGATGGAGACGAGGACCCCACAAAGTCGCAATGGACCTTTGCCGGTTCGCTTTTCTACTCGATCATAGTGATTACGACAATTGGTGAGTTGGTTAACAAATCAATCAATTTTATTTTATTAACTTTAATCAACTAGAATACTAATACAATAATCTAAGTACGCTACGGTCTATGTACAGATGCATTTGGGTGGGTGATTGATAATCGTATTCTTAGATCTGGGCCTACAACTTTTTGTTGTTCAGCTTGTCATTGACTGACGGGTTTCCGGTGCTGCGTCCCTCTCCCTGCAGCTCAACATTCTTTAGACTTTTGCCATCGGCGGCAACGCTGTTGGGTTTGTTTGTGTTCTCGTCGAAGAAGTTGCCAGGTCGGAGGCCCTGATTTGGATAGATGCCCAACTGCCCGTTTGGAGTAGCCAAGCCATAACCCTCTGTGTATTGCGGGCCTGGGTACGCGTTGCCAGGATATTGGGCGCTATTCGGAAACTGTCCGCTAGCATACTCCGCCCCTGGGTACTGTCCACTGGGTACTGGATATTGCGTGAATGGATATTGGCCAGCTGCGGGATACTGTCCCAGCCCAGACTGCTGTCCTGGGAAGCCAGCAAAACCAGTCTGGGGCTGTGTGCCTGAAAATCCAGCTCCAGGCAGACCACCAATACCATTGAAGCCAACATTACCGCCATACACGCCAGGATAGCCTCCGATGCCGTTTTGGGCGCCATTGAAGCCGCCAAAACCGGGCTGATATACTCCTTGGCCAGGAAACTGTTGCTGTTGTGGGCGTCCAATGATGCCTGTGGGACCGCCTGGTCCCACCAAAATGCCGGGGCTGCCACCTCCATAGCCGCCAGGCACCCCGCCAGCACCCGGGTAACCACCATACCCTCCCAAGCCAGTAAACTGGCCTGCATTGAAGAGACCGGAGCCTCCTCCGCCGTAGGGATTAAACTGTCGTGTACCAACATTCGGGGAGCCCTGCTTGTTCGGGTCAATATCGGCGTAGTCCTCGATCTCGTCGTTCTCTGGCTCGCCTGGCAGCGGCCTTCTTGTGGTTGGCTCACGATCGCGCGTGTAGAGCTCGCGACGGTATTTATCATCATTGGTATTTTTTATTCCAGTGGAGGGACTGCCACGAAAGGCGCGTTGCTGGCGATTGTAAGTGCGCCACACCCAATGATCATCGTCCGATCTCTGGGCCTCCGTCATTGTCGCCAGCAGGCAGAGTGCCACAATTAGGCAATCTGTTCGCATGATTGTTCACCGAAATGGGTCTCTTTCGCTCGGATTTCTTTTGTTTGGTTTTTAGCTCAACTCTCGTTTACACACTGACCCGTATTTTTCGCTTCGCCGACCGAAACTCGCGATTCGCTTGCCGTTCGCCTCAGTTGTAGAATAATTCGACTATACGACTGGCACACGCTACTTATATAACAACGCGTCGCCCCCAACGCACAAAGTCACTCGACTGTGGCATCGTCGTCACCCAACAACAACGATGGCAGGTGCTGTGCTTTTGGCAACAGCGACCATGTACGGTGGATCCAAAAGCAAACATCGCTCGAGCGACAATTCTTGTATCACAGCAGTTTTGGATCTTCTTACAGGCCTACACACCATTTCAATAATACCGAAGGTGCGATATCTTATCGAAATGCATTTTCAGAAAATAGCCATTGCTACCATTGTACTACCTTCACCATTAGACAGTGGAGGTCATCGGCTAAGTCTAATCCAAAGCCGACCTAAAGACACAAATTATTTCGCACCTTTTGTAAACAGTGCCCTTAGGGTGATGTAAAATATAGCATTTGTATGCGTATGCTTTGCATCTTCAGTGAGGTCGCACGGTCTGCCCTTACAATAATCTCTTAAAGGGTCACCACATCTTGTTTGCCAAGGGGAACACTTTCTTCTGTGTTATACCGTATTCCCCGCATCCAGTAAAGGATTATTAAATTATGAGCATTAAGTATTTTACGTTGAAATTTTATAAGCTAGGCAAATATTTAAATGTTATTTTTGTCAATATCAATGCCAATATGTCGACTACTTGTATGAAATTGACCATTTGATTGAGTTTTTTGTATTCCTTTTTAATCCACTTGGGAGCTTAGGGCCTCTACAAGAACAATTTTCCAGCTGGCTGTATCCCACGTGGTGTTGTTTCTGGGTAATTCCTGAAGGGTAATCCGCCGCCAGTTTGTCATCTTTAGGTCTGCTTCCTTGGGGGTTTTCCTTAACATCGACATCGAAGTGGAGCCGTTTTGGGTTCATTTGCTCTTGTATAAGTTTCCATAATCATGAGTAAAAGTTTGCAAAAGTTGTATTGCTTAAAAACGGGTTTTATTAAGATCATTTTCATCTGGCACGATGTCTAGTATTTTGTATTTGCTCCACTGTTTTACCTGATCGGTCGGCTAATGCAAACAAACAAGCAAACAAGCAAGCCATCAACAAATACGAGTACGAGTATATGGCAAGCGATCGTGGCAGACAACAAGACACGGCAGATTTAGCATGTCATCATGGGCCCACAGCTCTGGGACCAGAGCACGTATTACTGATTCATTCACGAAACCCCCAAAACTCGCGCCCAATTGGGATCTGGGGATGGGGGACTGCCTCATGCTTCATTGCACTGCGCCCAGGAACTGCTGCAATCTGTCCAATGGCCATGTTCTCGTTAATCACGCAAAACTCGCATAAATATCACCGCCCCGACTGGCCGATCACCCCTTCTCCCCATTGCCTCTACCTAAAACAACAACCAAAATGTTGTCGTGCTGGTCGTTGTGGCTTTGGTTGTCGCTGTTCGATTCATCATCCGTCATGTTGTAATTGGTATGTTGAGCAGCATTTCCATTAGCCGATATTGGGCAAGAGAGTATAATTCTGTTCAATTACAAAACACCTTCCTGGAAATAATGATGAGTTGCTGAATTTACAACCAAAAAAAAAAAATCAAAAAAAGACAATAGCTGCATAATGGCATGTCCGATATATAGTACAACACAATTCATATTCATACTATATATGAATTAGTGGCGACGCATCCCACCCACAAGCTCGTATGTGCCCGATCATTATTTTTTTTACCTCAGCCATTGCAGGCAATTTGCTTATCATGCATCAGTCATAGGTCAATATCAAATGCCAAATTTTGTTAGTTTGCTAGCTGCGTTTGGGTTTTTTCGTTTTTTTATTTTCCGGACACACTTTGCTGCACATGAGTTGATTGGCCCACTCCAGCCCAATCAGTGGTGGCGCACGTGAATGACCTCTAAACTTGGGCAGTAAATGAAAACAAGAGTCGAGTCATTCGCATGGCAAGGTCATCGTTCATCAGATCTGTTTTCGGCTTCAGATTGATGATGGGAACTTTTTGCACAAGCTCCCAATATGGCTTTTATAGTTCTGCCATTTGCGGTTTAATTCTTCGCTGTTTTGGATTATTTCGAGTGTGAAACTACGATACTTGCCATCATTGGGGCGCTTATCCAAGTGCGTCCGAGTTTACTGACCGGCCTAGCATTTGCAATAGAATAGATATGCACCGACTATACAAGTAGTTATAGCTTAAGCGACATTTCCGCATTTCCAAGACGGCAAACTTGAAACGCCTTTTTCGTATTTGCTAATTTTGTGGCCGATAGCTTTAATGGGCTAAAGCATAGTGCTGGCGATTACTCTTTCAAGAACTTTGGGCAGTTAACCAGGCCGAGTTCGTGGTGTTTGAACTCCCCCACATTGGCCTCCATGCTTACGCCTAGATTTAAATACTACGCAGATTATTTGCTCTAAAAGGCGGCAATTATTCACGAATATTGTAAAGATCAAAGAAGTTTTTTAAAAGCATCAAATCAGTCTTCTACAAATCTAGTGTCGAACTTAATGCATACTATATATCCTATACACTGACCTAATACGTAAGATGTGTTTTATTTATTTAAGGGGTGGACAAAATAGTTTTTTAAATAACATTTTTAACCCTGGAACATCATCCTTATTTTTTTACACCAAGTTCATCCTTCGTCAAGAAAAAACGAAGCTAAAATGGATTTTATATTTTCTTTATTTAATTGTTAACGAAATTTATATATATTTTTAAATTGCTTGAACTTGATATTTTTGTTTTACGGCCTTCTGTTTTCAATCGAAATCGTCGTTCTGACGAGGGATGACGGAGTAAGGTTAATTGAGGTTTCAATTGCGTACAAAATTTATTTTACAACGTTTTTCTCTAAATCCACGCTCTTAACTAACTCAATCTTCTTTTTTCCTTAAAAATGATCCCTATTTACCATTTTTCCAACTACAAATATTTTTAATCCTCATTACTCATGACCCACAACAATTGTGTGAGCAGAATTGAATTTTGTATCCAGTATTTTCATCAACAAAAGAATATTTCTGATCGGTTTCTGTAGGTTATCTACCTGCACCGATATATAGGGCTTACAATTGTCTGCCAAGTAATAATAACAGTCGCAAGTGTAAGCGATTTTATTGTGATGTCTAACGCCCCAATTAAATTTGGGTGAAAATGGATTCCAATATTTTGACGCATCTAATGATCAAAAGGTTTAAATTTAAAGGCTTAAGTTTAAATAAAAAACAGTTCTCATATTATTATGAAAATTTGTAAATTTACATATACTTGTACTTATAAGTACTAGCGTCCGCCTGTTTTTTTTTAGATTTTTTTTGTTATTTTTTCTTTATTGCAATTTTCTTACTGCAATTTCTTAAAAAGCAGCCTCGTCCCATTAAATATGCTCGGAGGGCTTACATTTCTCAAAAGTATGATTGGAATTCCGATTTTTAATGTTAATTTATGTGTCGGCAATCAGGCGGGCTTAGTAAATTTAAAAATTCCTGTGGGTAATGGACTGTATCTGCGATTTTAGCCACGGGTCGATCGATTGGTAATTTGTTATTTGGCTGGGGACTTTTAATAATATTGCCTCAATATTTAGAGTGACATATTGTTTCGAGGATAATTCTGAACTAACCGCATCCAGTTCTGGAATTTTTTAGGCACTTTTTTACAACTTCGGTTACATTATTGTAAGCATCGTTTCAGTAAGGATCCCATTTTTTTTAATATAATATAGCCTGGAGATAGTATAGCTTCCCAACAGTGAAAGAATCCTTTAAATCGGTACAGTAGTTTCGGAGTCTTTTCAATTCAAATAAACAAACAAATAAACAAACAATCAAATCTTTCCTCTTTATAATAATGAGAAGATAGAAGTACAGACTACCATATTTTTCAACACACAATATTAATTTTAGATACATTTTAATTGAAATGTAAATAAAAGGGAACGAATACATATATATGTACATACTAAATGTATGATCTCTAATAATTTGATAATCGTTTAAATCCGGTTTCGTATTTCACTTGACAGGCTATGGCCACATATCACCGCGCACGGATTGGGGCAAGGTTACAACCATTTTCTATGCAATTGTCGGCATACCGCTGATGCTGCTCTGCCTGTCCAACATTGGAGATGTGATGGCCACGTCATTCCGGTAAGTTGTTGATCTGCCTGGGTGCCCAGCTTTGCGTGATCAACAAATGCATTCTGCTCGTCTGCAGGTTCCTCTACTGGCGAGTCTGTTGCTATGTTTGCACTCGAACTGCTAGACGGCCTCGGAACCAACGATCGCGCCAGCGTTCTGTGCGTTCGCAACGCAACACCTCGCGCTCCCAGCCGCCGCCGTTCCGGCGCTCCATGAAGCTCACCCAGCGCTCTGCCAACGATTCGGGCTTTGGCCCGTCCATGGGTCTGCCGCACGCCTACTCAGATCCAGACGTGCGAACCTTTGGCCGTGGAGAGTACGAACGTGATTTTGGCGGTGGTGGTGGCGGTGGCGGTGGCGTTGGTGGCTACCGTGGCAGTGGAGGCCGTACACGACGGCAACAGCAGCATCAACAGCCGCGCCACCATGACCCTGCATCCTCGCATCGAGGAGGGAGACACGCAATTTACGATGATGACTACGAGCCGCCGCAGAACACGCAGACGCTCAACCGAAGCAATCGCTTCAGCAGCCGACAGAGGCAGCGAGACCGCATGCGCGACAGGCACACTGTGGAACGGGAGCGGTATTTGGGACACTCCCGCTCGCACATGGACGACGGTTCCATTGACGAGTTCAGCGATATGCAACCGCCGGCTAAGCGCGCTATGAGCGCCAGATCAGTACGTTCGCCACAGCGACACGATCATGAGCCCCAGAGTCGTGGGCAGCAGGATACAAGAGCCACGCGTGAACTGAGTCGCCTGCACTCGCAACCAGGACGTGGGCGCTCTGTCCCAAATAGTGCGCACGGCCGTGCAAAGTCTGTGGATCCACGACACTCTGGCCATTCGGCCTATTACGAAGATGTAGACGACGAGCTGGCGCGGAAAACACCAATCATTTCTAATCGCTATGCACTCGATGATTTTGAGTCGTGGGGTCAAGATGCGGGAGGTGCTGGCAGCGGCGGCAATCGTTCCAAACATCCACCACGTAGTCAATCCATGCCACGATCAGCACACCAGCGCCAGCGAGATAGAGATCGATCCCCACAACCGCAGGCGCAGTATGGAAATGGACGCAGGCATAGTATAGGTCGACAAACCTCTCGCTATGGCAATCAACTAGAGCTGCCGGAGTACGAGAAATCAACTGGAAACCAGCAACGCAACAAACGTGGTCGTTCACCTCGCTACGATCCCGAGGAGGAATTCGATGACATCTCTCTGTACGACGACTGCGAGTATAGCGGCGGACACCGAGGTGGTAGAGGGTATGACGATCGCCACTACGAGGACCAACCCCCGCGTCGCACATCACGGCATCGGGAGCAACGGCGACAGCGTAGAGAACGTTCCGAACGTCTGCCACCCTCCCCTAGGATCATGTCGCCCATGGGCTTCCCAGTGCAACGCCAGATTCGACGCCGTCCCAGCTACGACTATGATGACGACTCCATGTATGGAGACGATGGCGACTATGGCGAACTTTTGCCAAAGGATAGACCGGTGCCCATTTGGCTGTGCGTCTTTCTGGTCGTGAGCTACATACTCGGCGGGGCAGCTCTCTTCACCACGTGGGAAGAGTGGTCTTTTCTGGACTCGGCTTACTTCTGCTTCATAACGCTGACCACAATCGGTAAGTCAAGCCCTGGACATAGTTAGAGCCCTACTAAGCCCATTCCTCACATCCAGGCTTTGGGGACTTTGTGCCAGCCAAGGGAGTCAAGGATGAGTCTCAGCAATCAATAGCCTACTGTTCACTCTACCTGCTCTTCGGCATTGCGTTGCTTGCCATGAGCTTTAATCTAGTCCAGGAGGAGTTTATTGCCAATGTAAAGGAAGTCGCTCGTCGGCTTGGCATTCTAAAGGATGATGATGATGACGACGATTAATCGGGGACACACGGCTCAAAGCTGACCAACCATGGACAGAGCTGTTTATTCTTAATGAACTACCAATTCGATTCTTACAAGTGGCAATGCATTGGTTCAGTACATAGTATAAATATCTCGATTCGAAATAAATGAACCTGAGCTAATGGTTGTTTAGTTTAATGAGCAAATAAATCCAAAAAGTCATGAGTGTGTCAACGACTCTCGTTATCCCATAAATTGTATTTATAGGTGCATGTGTATTTAACAAAATATTGTGATCCCAGACAACTTCAGGGTCGATAAAAGGTTAACATGTTAATTATGATTTGATCAATCTCGTCCCACTATATGATTAGTTTCATCTACTTATGAACAAATTTTGCACTTTAATTTTGAACACCCATTTTTATTCATTTAATGGCTACAATCTACAACAAAGGTATTTTCATCCGATGACAATGCCAACATCTCGTCTTAAATAAAGTTAACAACGCTTTCTTATATTACGTACAAACATACAGAGAAATTTATTAACACAAGAAACGAATGTGTGATACAGAAATGCGACGTCGGTTTAAAGAAAATGTGCGAATTATAATATTAAATATTTTATTACATACGAAGGAACGGAATCAGGTAAAATAAACCTGACTGCTCTAACGAGCATCCATGATTGGGGTGCTCAATAATGCCTAACATTAAGACGGCTAGTGCTTCAGGCGACATTCTCTTTGTTTCCCTGTAAATACAATTAAATAATATATAGAGTTGGCATTTCGTTAATAATAATTGCTTTAATTTTCACTCACGCGAGCACGGGCCGGCGAATTGACCGGCGATTGCTTGTACGGTGTCAGAGAACCGGACAACGAGCTGCTACGTTGCTGGGCACGTGGTTGTTTCAGCGTATTGGAGCTGCGGGAACTGCTGCTGCCTCGTTTCATATTGACGCCATCAGGCACTTCGATGGGCGTTGAGTTCATGATGGTCTCCGTTTCAGATAGCTCCTGAACCGAATGCAACGCCTCATCCTCGCCTTCACTGCACTGCAAAATGGGAAAGACAAACGAAATAAAGTTTTTAGTTGGAGAAGATACATGTTTATAATGTCTCGGAATGTTATTTTATATTTTACGCATCAAAGAAATTCCCTATAATTTAAATGTCTTATTTAACTACCTAGCCGAAAAGGCATTCCACTATGGTAAACTAATTAGAAATGTTGTTTTGTTAGACCCAGAAGGTAAATCGTTCTGCTCTACTCTTTTACTGTTGGTTACAAAGAAAATATTTTTTCTTTTATGCAATTAATATGTGTGCGAATAAATTATGGCGATTAGTTTAAAAGATTTAGTTTGTTACATACCTCATCAATAGTGGCAGTAGTGTCCAAGTCCGACCAATCTTGCTCCTGTCGGAAACGTCGCACAATCTCTTGATGCGGTGATGTAGCGGCTAACGTACGTGGATAAATGAAGTTGCGCTTCGATGGTGTAGTGCCTACACAAATATTTAATTCATTTTGCTATATATGATACCGATTTCTTATAAAGGAAATCTTACCTGTGGGCGCATAAGTTTTCAGCTCGCTCTGCTGGAAGTTAAGCAACTCCTTGCGGCAGTCCAGTGTCTGTTCTTTCTGTATCGAAGCATAGTTGACAGATTGTTTTCTCAGCGCACTAACAATTTCGGCAGCCATTGCTGTTTGGCTGCGCACCGCCTGTATGTCCTCAGTGATGGGGCGCTGTAGCTGTTCGCTTGCCAGCTGCAGTTGTTGCTGCTGATCCAGACGCAAGCGCTTCGCCTGTTCGCTACTAGCAGCACAATTTTCGTGAATGCTTAAACTGTGCGCCTTTGCAAGTGATTTGCTTTGCTCAGCTTGTTCAGTACCATCCTTTATTAATTGATCCACCTGTTCATGCAACGCTCCACGATGGCTTTCGGCTTCATCAACGCAAAGTTGGACCGAAGCTGCATGTTGAGAGAACTCGGCAGTCGCTTGTTGATTAAGCTCAACTTCGGATTTTGCAAAAGCGCATATGGTTGCAATATTTTGCTGAGTCTGCGCTGAGGCCGCTGCATTACTGCTTTCAAGCTGCTCTATGCGTTTGCCCAGGCTTGTAGTGTTCTTGTGCCGCAATTCTTTGATTTGATCCATTTGGCGCATAAAGTCTTCTACAATAGACTGTTCCTGCTGGGCCAGTGCCTGTTCGTTGGCCACTTCGGCCTGCATCTGCTGCAGCTCTCGAGCATCCTGTGCTCCCATTGTGGCCAACTGTGCCAGCTGCTGCTGCATCCGCTGGATATGCTCATCCAGCGAGTTTGCACTTCGCTCTATTACTTTCGTAAAACTGTCACGCATGTTTTCAACTGCGACTCTTTGTTGTTTGCTGTTGCTCGTCAGCTCGTGCAGATGATCTAGAATTGTTTGCTGCAATCGCTCCTCGCGTGCTTTCAAATGCTCCAGGATCTGAGCCACTATTGCTTGGCAATGAGCATCGCCTTGGCTCGCGATTAAGCTTACGAACTCATCGTGCTGCTGCCCAGTCGCTTCGAAAGCAGTATTACATATGCTGCGTATATTCTCGATATTTTGTGTGGCATCGGCCAACAAACGCTTGTGCACAATTGTGCAGGCGTCTAGTGGAGTAAGAGAATAACAGTAAGATATTGGACGTGGGATTAGTGATTGAATAAACGTGCAACTTACCAAGCTCATCGCCCAGCATTTTCGTCGAATCTGCTTGTTGCTCCTGGTATTTGATGAGTTCGCAATCCAACACATCAAACTTGTCCAGCATACGCTCTGTGAACTGATCACAGGCGCTGCGAATATTCTCATCCACAAGCTGTCGACGTTCAATAGTATTGTGCAGCTGCTGGGTGTCGTTGGCGGCCATATCTGCAGCTTCCAGTATTTGGCTGGCCTGTGTTGACAGCTCCGTTTCAGTTTTCATGTGTGAAGCAACCAAAACTTTCTTCTCCTTGTAGCGACGCTTCGTCTTGTTAAGAACCTGTAAATAAAATTGTGACTCACTTGTCTGGAGTGATAAACAACGCACAACTCACCTTTTTGGTCAGCTGTAATGACCCCTTGGTTTGGCTTAAGTTTTTCTCGGTGCGCTGAAGATCTTCGGTCTTCTTCACCAGATTTAAGCTAATCTCATTGAATATATTTGCCTTGTTTTGCAACTCGTCCCTGAGTGCTTTAATGAGCAGCACTTTCTCGTTGAGCTCGCGATTCTGCGACTCCATCTTAAGAGTCATCTCACAATAGGTTTCCTCGGCCAGATATATGCCATTTTTATCGCGTGCCGCCATTAGGTCACGTTTCAGTTTGTCGATCTCCTCGGTATACTCCTTTAGTACAGTCTTCTTGGTGAGTTTTTGATTGACTTCTGGCTTGTTTTGTATATTTTTGGCGCGATGCGCATACTCAAGCGTGCTCAGCGTCTCCTCGATATCCTTGTGGCCTGGTGAGATAGTAGCTATAATCGATGTCTTCGTTCGACCGCCCAGCGACTCCTGAAGAAGACGCGTCAGCTTGGATTCGCGATAAGGTACATGTGGAGCACGATCCACCAGGGCGGTGATCACACGCCCGAGAGTTAACAAACTCTGATTAATGTTCACCGTCTCCCGCACACGTATTCCCTTCTCATTGCCGGCCTTGGATACGTTTTCACTGCCAGCCAAATCTACAAGATTCAGCTTGCCAATCTTGAGCATATCCTCGCCTTCAATGCCATTCTCGCGGATGTGCACCACAATCGAGAAAACAGTGTGCGAGCGCGAAGACTGAGCATTCATCAACGTGGTGGCTGTTTTACGGCGCTCCTTGCCCTTCTCCAGCAACTTGTACACATCGTCCTTGCTATGCACAGGTATCTCTTCCAGGCCCTGTATTATTACCGAACCTTTTTTTGTGCTATCATCAAAGATACGTATCTTGGTGGTGTCGTCCGTCGAAAGCAGATCGCACAATTCCTCGTTATAAAGTTCGAGGTAGGAGATGCGCATTGTATACTCGACCTCCATCATACGCAGCTCGTCGAATAAATGGCTGAGAGCGCGCGGTATAATGCCAATTTCCGAATCCTAGTCAACACACACAAAAAAAGAACAGATAATTAACCCAAGGGCAAAATGTTTCGATTGCAATTCTTGGAATTCGCGGTACGGCCTAATGACGAACAAACGCGATATTAGAAGTTGCTAATCAAGTTTTAAACGCAGGTCAAACTACATACATACATACGTCCAATATTATATATGTATATGTACTACAGAATATTATATTGTGATGCTTACGTCCTCCCAGGATGATTTTAGCTCGACGCACTCATTGCCCACCATAGTGTGCGTTTTACCGGTGCCAGTCTGTCCATAGGCAAACACCGTGCAATTATATCCGGCCAGCACTTCTTCGATGAGCGGAGCCACGACTGTAGAGTACACTTCACATTGGCGAGACTCTTGCCCAAAACTGCGATCAAAAGTAAATTTCTTGGTCAGCTTTGAGTCGAGCGTATGGCGTGTGACAATTTCACGAGGTGCCACCACGTCCACAACTTCAGCCGAGCGTATGCATCTTTCGCGTGCATTTAGAGGCCTAAAAATGCCTTTTTAAAAACTTCCAACTCCAATCAATTGTAGGTCCACTTACCTAACTCTTACATAGACCTGAATATTTTGATTTGATTTGCGCTGGCTCTGATTCCGGGACGCATTGTTCGATGTTGAGTCCATTATTTTGCGAGCTTTACTGAATTCTATAGTTTGTTTTTCAACGGCGCGCCAAAAAAAAAGGACGTGATGGAGACGCTTCACGGATTGTGTTTATGTGTGTGATATTACAACAGTGGCCGTCCTTATTTACAGTGACCAATATTAAGGGAACTATAAACACTGCGAAATGCTGGCCAACTTCACCTCTGACAGGTTTATGGTGTTTTTTCTTTCACTGAATGCAAAATGCCCAAGCGTCGGCGTCGTCCGTTCGTTTTGAATAAATGCTCAAATTAGAGATGAACGGAAAATGCAACTCTGGAGTTTTGCCTCGATTAGTCGATAACAAAATCTATCACGCAGCAACCAGAATGAGGCGTGCGTAAAAGTACGCGTACTGTGGCAACACTGGTTCTAGTTGGACCGACCCATACACATACGCTGCAGAAACGCGTAGCGTAGCAGACTAGAAATGTATTGGGGAATTAAGTAAATGTACATTTTTCAAAAAGTAAAGCAAACGAAATTAGCTGTGAAAAACTGCTGAAAAGTGCTGTTGTTATTCTTTTAGCGCCGGTGCCCTTGTATGCTTCTGTGTGAGCGTTAGCGCCGTCATCGTTGGAAACTAGAACATAGTAAGTAGCACCATAGCCGACACGCCTCCCCACCCACCAACACTGCCGTCAGCACATCGATGAGCTCTATTGATAATTCACTTATGTATGATTTTCCCAACCAAGGTGAGGTCACAAGCATCGCCAAAACGATGGATCTGCAAGGCGAAAATGAGGTGTACGATGACATGAATCTGTACATAACACCCGAGAGTTTCATTGTCGAACCCAACGGTAAGGACGAGCTATTGATTATCGGGCGAATAGACAAGACGACTCGCGTGCAGCCAAAGTCATCGCAAGTGGACAACCAGCGGCCCACGCGTCGCATATGCGGCGTCCTGGGTACCATACATCTTCTAAGCTGCGATTATCTTCTGGTGGCCACGCACCGACTATTCGTTGGCGTGCTGAACAATTCTATTATATGGCGGCTGGCCGGCTACGATATCATACCCTACATTCCAAATGCCTGTCAGCGCAACGAGAATGCCACGTATCTGAGTATGGTGCGCAGGACTCTGGACACACAGTACTTTTACTTTTCCTACCGCTACGACCTGACGCACACGCTGCAACGCAAGCAGGAATCCTTGAATTTGCCCCGAAAAGGATTGTTTGAAAGCGCCGATCGGCGATTCGTCTGGAACGGTCATGTGCTGAATAATTTCCAATGCGACAAGATGCACAACTTCCAGTTGCCGCTTATTCTAGGCTTTATATCCATTAACCAAGTGCAAATCAATGGCCAGACCTTCTTCTGGAGCATAATATCGCGGCGCTCTATACAGCGAGCTGGCACACGTCTTTTTTGTCGTGGTGCCGATGAGAACGGGAACGTGGCAAACTTTGTCGAGACGGAGCAGATTGTGGAGTTCAATGGGCAGCGCACGTCCTTTGTGCAAACACGTGGCAGCATGCCTTTCTTTTGGCATCAGCTGCCCAATCTGCGCTACAAGCCCAGGCCCAGTCTCATGGTTGGAAAGGATCACATGTCCGCGTTCGCTTTGCACTTTAAGACGCAGTTTGGTCTGTATGGAAAGCAGGTGGCCATCAACCTTGTGGACCAGAAGGGCGCCGAAGGTGAATTGGAGACAAAGTTCAGGAAACTGGCGCAGGACATGGGCAATTCATCCTTGCGCTACGAAGCTTTCGACTTCCATCACGAGTGCCGCAAGATGCGCTGGGACCGGCTAAACATACTCATCGATCGGCTGGCCCACGAACAAGACCAGTTCGGCTTCTTCCATGGTTTCGACAACGGCACTTTAGTCTCCACGCAGTCGGGCGTCTTCCGCACAAACTGCATCGATTGTCTGGATCGCACAAACGTGGTGCAAAGCATGCTGGCGCGACGCTCCCTGACGTCGGTGCTGCAGAAGCTGGGCGTGCTTCACGTAGGCCAGCGTGTGGAGCATGCGTCCGCTAGCTTCGAACTGCTCTTCAAGGGCGTGTGGGCGGACAATGCGGATCTGGTGTCGCTGCAGTATTCAGGCACTGGCGCGCTAAAGACCGATTTTACGCGCACCGGCAAACGCACGAAGGCGGGTGCCATCCAGGACGGCAAAAACTCAATTTTACGCTACTATTTGAACAACTTTGCCGATGGCGTACGTCAAGATGGCATCGATCTATTCCTGGGCATGTACCTGGTCAACGACGATGAGGGCTGTGCGATGCCTTCGCCACTTCGAACACATCGCGGCTGGCGATATGTGGCCTTCCCCTCGGTGCTGCTCATTGCGGTGGCCATGTTTTTCATCACCATCACATATCCGGCAGAGTTCAACACAGAAAATCTACTCTTCATGCTCTTCTGGAGCGCCATGATTGCAGTAAGCGCCACCGGCATTATGCACTATGGAATCGAGTTTGTCCAATGGCCCCGGCTTTTTCCCCCTCTATCCTTTCGCTCAGCCTGACATTAGTACTATCTAGAGGATGAAGGTGCGTCTGCACGCTTCGTAGTAATTGTAAAACAAACAAAAAACAAAAAAAAAACATAAATGAAAAACTAAAGAAATTCCTGTAAACCATGCGCTGTTGCGCCTTTGTATTTAAGTTAAAAGGTATCTTCACTCGCATTCTGTCCCTTTTGTTCCAAGCATTTACATATGTATAAAATCTTTTTGTTTATTTTTGTTTACCCTCATTATTTGCTTTAAGCAAAAGAAGTGTCGCCATATTTTTCAACGGCGTGTGCTTAATAGACAAATTTTTGTGCAATCTAGGCGAGCTTCAGGTCGGATGAGGTTGCTAGTCAATCATGCCTCAAACACGCAGTTTCTGGGACAGTTATAATTAGTTCAATCAATTTTGTAGTATTTTATGACGTTGAATAAAAGATTTTATGCATTGCAAAAAATGAAGCAAGAGGATTCTCTGGTGGTGGACAACTCTCTTTAGATTAACAGAAAAATTAGGAGCTTATCATCGACTTGATGAGGAAACTTTTGCACCCATTTGTAATGTTCAGATCTTGCCAACAAAATATGTGTGCATTTTTTTCGTAACATAAGCAGGCCTGTTCTTGTACTTATTTAAAATCTTATTTATAAACAGTCTCGGCTTTCTCAGATGTATTTCCTAGAAATTAATTTTTAGTAGTATCAAAATTTCTTTTTTTTTTCCTACTCTTGCTATCCGCTATTTTCACAAAATTTCACGAAATGGCGCAAAATTTTCTATACATGTTCGAGTTTGTGGTGGACGACTTGCTGATCACAAGACAGAATCTGTGCGCCCCCGAGGAGTACCCCACATGCTGCGAGATCACGTTCCGATCGAGCGTGTTCGTGTCGATCTGCGATCGTGAATATGGCTCTTGCGTGAATCCTTGCCAGCCCAAGTGCGGCAAGTGTTGCATGTTCTCCCTTGAGTCGCCGGTGACTGACAAGGATCGGGTGCTGATTCACGTCTATAAGAAACGAACCGATCGTTGCAAGTTTCTCATTGGCCTGTCGGATCTGGCCGCTAAGCCGATATTCGATCGTGTTAATGAGTCGTTCCAAGCTGAGAACCCTAACTGGGAGAAAATTCTGAACGAGCATATTAACAACATGCCCAAGATGAGGCAGGCGAGCAAAAATCCGCTGGACAATTGCGCCTGCTATGAGCGTGCGATGGAGCGCAAGGAGCAGCTTTGCCCCACCTCGGAGCTTTCAAAGCGTCTTCTCCCGCTCTTCAATCTGTGCAAGATGCAGACGGGTAACATAGTACTGATTATGCGCCTGGTGTGCAATGGACCGGCCATTGTGTCCTCATTCCCCTTCAATCGCGTCTGCTCGCGCAATCCCAAGTGCCCGGAGCCCTGTCCGTCTTGTCCATCCTGCGGCAAGGCACCAAAGAACGCCGGCGGCGGACAGATTTGCCCTCCCCCATCCAGCTGTGGTGGCGGTTGTGGTGGTGGTGCCGGCGGCGCTGGCGCGGCTGCGGCTGCAGGAGCTGGAGGTAAGAAGTGCAGGGGTAAGTGTCGCAGCCCGAGCCCAGTGTGCGTGCAGCCGGATCCGTGCTACAAGCCAGATGATGAGCCCATGAAGTGTCTGCGGTATTTTGCTTGCAATCTGGATAAGATGTGTCCCTGCGACTATTGCGAGGATGAGTTCGACCGTGGTGAGTATAAAGTCATGTGTAAAGCCTCCATGCCCCACACAATACACTTCTTTTTTGGTCCAGCCTGCCCCACCGTGCCACAGAAAAAGAAGAAGCTATCGCCAATAGAACAGCGCTTGGAGCCATGCAATCCTTGTGGTGGCATTCCATCCATGCCGCGCAATCGAGGCGGTGCAAGTGTCGAAGGTGGAAAAAAGGACAAATATCCACGTCAATCCGGTGGAGGCGTTATTCAGGTCTGTGACCCCGATGCGAAACCGGAATCAAGGTGCGGAAAATGTGATCCCTGTGAGAACGCTTGTTGTCCCGAATACGAAATGTGTTGCGACCAGGGTAATTAAATCAAAATATAACTCTAATTGTACCTTCAACTACCCTTGTATTTGGAGCCACTGATATTTGGCCTTCCATACTCCAATTCTACTTACCTTTTGAGCAGAAAATATACTAAGTTTCCTAACTTTCAAGCAAAAAACACACCTATAATGGAACTCTAATTGCACCTTCAACTCCCCTTTTATTTGGAGCCACTGATCTTTAGAGTTCCATACTCCAATTCTACTTACCTTTTGATCAAAAAATAGAATAACTTTCCTAACTTTCCAGCAAAAAAGACACACACACCTAATTCTGTTTTTACACGGTTTTGATTTGAAAATTCAAAATGTGTAACCACGACTTTATTCCATTTAGCACGATTCATTTTGCATTTGATCAATGTATTTTTTTACACGACTTTTTTAGGAACCAATCTACCGTGTAAAAACAGAATTAGGTGTATACTGGGACTCGAGTTCATCTGTCTTTCCATCCGTATACACATCAAACGATTGCTTTGTCCAAAGGCTTATATCGATTTCGTAACCGACTTGTTATTAATATCTAGGTTCTTCGGGGACCTGTGAAAAGGAGCCTGTCGGGTTCGGGGTATACAAAGAACGAATATAAATAATAGGTAGATGAATAAATACAGTCTTGGACCGGTCTCAGTAGTAAGAAACTCATTAAAAGTATTCCAACCTAGATTGTTCCCATAGGTCTTTAAATAAGAGTCCTTCAATCGAACTTAACTCTTAAGCTTCATTGTAATTATACTCGACTAATAGTTTTTCTTTTAAATTAAAATTAAAATTGAAACCATTTTATGCCCATTCCTTGACCATAATGTCTATATAGTAAGTACTCGTATTTGCTGGAAATTAAGATATTCTGAAAATGTTTACAATTGTTGTTTATTATCAATCGCTCCATGATTCAAATGTCATTACAAAATTTGAAAGTGACTGAACACGTTGGCAGGGATTAAAATTAATGTATTGTTCACAATCATTTCGGTTGAGAAATTTCGTGCTGTCTAAATAGAAAAAAAATTGTTTTGTTTTCGAGGTTTTTTGGATGCATCAATGTGTTTGTGGTGCCTTAAATAGAGACGCGGGAGACGTGCGACATTTCGTAACTGTAAATTTCAGTATTAAATCGTATTTTGCTCAGATAGTTAATTATATTATCCCCGATATTTTATTGTTCTTACTTGTAGCGCGCCAACGAGCTATACGGAAATTGCGCCATTTACTGGTTAAGTACAATATCCAAATTGAATAATCCAATCCATTCCAAATTCAATTTCGAGCAAAAACAAAGGATCTGGTGAACTAACTTTTGAAAATGGCCAAAAAGGGGAAGAAAAAGGGTAAAGGAAAGAAGAAGAAGAACGAATGCCAACAACCAATTCCGTTGCCGCAACCGGGTAGGTATTAAGCAAACAAGGCATAGGGAAGGGGGGTACTCATCGTGGTTGGTTCCTCCTATAGAGGGTGATTGCGACGAGTGCTGTCAGTGCCAGTGCGATTGCGATTGCAGTCCGGAGATACAGCCGTGCTTTGTGGAGGTGACACGTCCGGAGCCGAGCTTCGAGGCCTACGATGAGTTCGAGGCGTGCCTGAATGGCAGCGGACTGACCATACGCGTGCTCAAGGACACACACAAGGTGGACTGTGTGGATGATGGCGCAGATGATGATCCCGATCTGGGAGCCGATGATGACGAGTGTTACAGGCAGGACATAGAGGCGTGTGAACCGGTATCTTCTTATGTAACCCTCCCCTAATTCCTATGCCCTCCTCCTGCAGGACTGCAATCAGAAACGCGAGTGCGTGAACGCGTTGCTCCAGCGCAGTGCCTTTGCTCGCAATCATATTAAGCGCCGCACCGGGGGCAAGATCATCAACCATCCGCACATACCGAAAGTGCGAGCCAACATCAAGTATGCTGGGAACGATGCCTGCGAGGCGGACAACTACTACGTGCCCTTCTCAAAGATCAAGGAGATGTGCGATCAGCAGGAGGCCAAGGTGGACTGCTATCGGCGTCGACTGTGCGGCGGCGGCACACCGGTGACCCGTGCCCAGCCACAAAACTTCAATCAGCGCAACTGCTGCATGCAGGTGGAGCGACGCGACATTACCGATGCCATGAAGGGTATCAACGAGGACACACGCCGCAAGGGCATAGAGGTAAGAAGCGCCCCAGGTCGTGCTTAGAGTGTTGCCAATAAATTAGCAGCCGCTCGAAAGCCTCACAATCGGTCGGCTGGAGCCAGACCTGCCAATTGTATCTGCACAGGTGGAAATGTTGCAATGTTGCCGCTGCTCACTGGGTCTCTCGGTCGTTTGGCCTCAATGCAACTCAATGCAGACGTTGTGCGGCCTGCAGCTCGGCTGCAGATGCACATTCCACGAGATAGAGGCGCGGAGCAGACGGAGGGGGGCCTGAAGCCAAAACGCTTTGTCGTTGCATTCAATTTTAGTTTTTGCCACAGTCGCTGTTGTTGCATAAGTGCGCCAATTGCAGCTCTAAATGTGGAGCGGCAGCAGCTTTGGTTAGATGTGCTTGTCTGCTTGTCTGCTTGCCTGCTGCCCGTTTGTCTATAAATCTATCACTTTCCACATTTTCACATGCCACGAAAATTGCATACCATTTGTTGTTTCAACATTTTTCTCTATTTATGTTTATTTTTTGTTTTTTGTTTTTGCTGTGCAGGTCTGTTACAAAACGTGCGACGAAACCGATAGTGATGTGTTCCTTGTGAAGCTTGGTAGCAAGTCTAAGGCGCAGAAGAAGAAGAACACCATCGAAATCGAGCTGCGCACGCCCAAGCAGCCCGTCACGCTGCCAGCTCGCAAGGTCACAACAGACACCTATGTTACGGAGGCCCTACTAGACGCTGCCATGGGCAAGAAGGGCAAGAAGGGTAAGAAGGGCAAGAAGGGCAAGAAGAAGAAGTAGGCAGCTCGCATCACCTCATGCATGTGAGACCACCTCCCGGATTTTCAACCCAACCAACCACTGGACTTTGCAACAATCACAAAACCAAATGTTAGAGAGTACTATTCCGCCCCCGATACGAGAACATAAAACAGCAAAATCCCAAACCAATTGTCGCGGAGGAACGAATCGAAATGAAACAAAAGTAACCCACCGAAATTGTCGAAATTTTAGCAGTTAATTGGCCTCAAGTGCACGCTACGACTATTTAGTTAAAGAAACACATCGATTATATTTTAGATGCAGTTCAATAAATGTAAAATTTGGGATAAACGGCTTGAGAATTTATTTGGACTTCAACATAACAGTTCATAGTTAAGCATTTCACTGAAAAGTGCTTGTTTTAGGATATATACATATGTACATACATATGATCGACATGATGAGACATATCGTCCTGCTCCTGTACATTTCAAGTACAGAGTGTAAATAATTTTTGCATCAACAAGAAATGCAAAAGAAATTTAATATTGATAATGCTGTAGTCATATCTGGTGGTTTTAAAGCCAGTAAGGGAACAATGGGTTATTTACACTCATGGACAAAATAGGTGTAAAGCCACAAAAATATCAATTGTAAAGTTTAGTAGCACTGTTTTGGAATGAAATTGGTGAGCTTCCGCACATAATTTTACTAACTGGTCAAAATAGTGACTTGTGCATTTATTCAGCACTTAAATTGAGCTGGCCAATGAAATAAATTTGTGGGTTAAGTCCTGAATTGTAATAAAAATAAACGAGTTAAGTTTTTGCTGAGGGTTGGGTATTGAGAAAAAAACTCTAAATGGGACATAAAAATTTTAAAAATCAAATTAATATTAGACGGATCGAAAAAGACTTGTTCAATTCATTTTCACCCCAATGGAACGGTGGAATACCTAGAGCACATAATCAGTATTGCTGGGACGATCGCACAGTTACATTATTTCAGGACAATTACTATGAAGCTGAAATTGTTGTATCGTCACGAACGATTCGATTTTGATTGGAAAGTGCGGACTGCCCGCAAGATTCCACTGGTCGAACAGCCAATTTAAAGATAATGAAATCACAAAACCTGTGAGAAAAACTGTTCGCCGACCTAATGGCGAAGACCTTTATGTTAGGTTCAAAAAAAACTGTAAGGCACTGAGATGGGAGCAAGGTAACGGTCCGATAGAACGGGTGATGGCATTATGAAATAATTGGTATACAAAATATGCCACTTTTATGGAAATTTCATCAAGATAATGGTATGGATAAACAAGATGGGTGAGTGAATGAATTCAAGAACATAACGTGGACGCCCAGAACCTCTGTGCAGCATTTAAACAAGATGTCGCAAACACTGGTTGCAAAAACAAAACACAGTTTTGGGTAAATATACTAAAAGCTATGTACAATAAAAAAAAAAACAAGAAAGGAATGCTAAAGTCGAGAAGGCTCAACTCTTAAATACCCTGTACCTCCCAACCTTTGGGTACAGGCTATAACAAAAATTGATACCATATATACTATATATATTGGTTAAAGCGCGCTAAAATAATGGCGGAGATACATGACACTAAATGATCTTTTATTAATTCACTAACAGAAGGAACCCTGCCTAACTGGTGATATTACAATGCTAAGTATTTACTTAGTTGGTTTGGCACATTGTGACCATCCAAAAGTATTTAATAAATTAATTAAATGTTAAAATTGCAGAGCTTATGTTAACTGTTTTATAGTTATTAGCTGTATTTTGTTATACTTGTATCGTAATGTAATTTATAATCTTTTGCACATCAATCAAAATCTAGACTGAGCAAATATGAAAGCTTGAAAGAAGTACTAATTACAAGTTTTTTCAAACCGCAGGGCTTTACAAATCTTGTATTTTGTCTACTAATTATACATTTACTGTACATATGTACATTTAATTCGAGGTTTTGTTTGTGCAATATCGGATATCAGATTGTGGTTGCTCGTCTGTCAATCCTACACCAACAACTTATCAACTACTATTTAAAGAAACGCCCTTGGCCTGTCAATGCTGCGCAGAATCCTGTAAAACAGCAACATTTTATCAAAATGACTTTGAGCTAAACACTCCCACCAACGACACCGAGTCTTTGCCAGCGTCTGTCTAGAGACTATTAGCGAAGAATGCTGATGGCAGACGACGCTGGACCAAAGTGCGGCGACTATTAACACCGATAAACGGAGGAGGCGGCGCAGCAGAGTCGCTTGAATGGCCAGCTAAATGTCGACTGCGATGTAAACGAGTTGCCAACCCGAACGAGAGAGCAAGCAGTCGTGAGATGCTGCAGATGCTGTGAGTGCGCTGAAGCAAGCTGACCGCGACGCAAGCGCAGCGCCGACGCTAAAACCAATGGCGTTGGCCGAGCCTCGGAGAGGAATCGAGCGTGGAACGTGTTTTAGTTGCGTTCAAACGCTTTAGTCTGTAAGTTACCAAACCAAGCGACGCGAGCAGCGATCAGCGATCAGAAATCAGAAATCAGCAGACAAACAAATGAACCAAAACAAACAAATCGAACTCATTCGTTCACAACTCAACAGCCGCCGAACCAGCCGATGTGTCCAGCTCGCCTGCTTAGCGACGAATGCGAGCAACTTTTGAAGCCGGCCAAAGCGAGAGGCACAACTTGAATCAGTGAAGTGCTTGCGGGTGAGCAGAGCAAAAGCCAAGTGGAAAGAAAGTAGATGATCGCTCAACCTGCAGCAGCTGTTCGTTGATGACGTCGACTGCCGCCTCTGATTACCTAATAATCCGAGCAGCAGCAGCAACAGAAACGAACTGACTTCGACTTGGACTTGATAGTGGCCGGCCTGCGAATTAATGGCCAGGCACTCTCATTTGCATTACGCGATGAAATTTAGGCGGAGAAAACAAAGCCACAAAACGTCGACACATTGAATAGCGATTGAAAAAACAATACTTGTAGCAAAAAAAACATAGGGAGACTCATCCATGAACCAGAGATTGGAACTGTTGGGTCAGCGGCTGGTATTTTATATTCATAATTAAATTACCAGCGTTGACAACGTGCGCGCCCGATTGTCTATTTAGAAAGTGTTACATACCAAAGCTGTTAGATATACATTCATAGCAGCCACTGCTCACCTGAGCCACCGCTTACACCTGCAACTGCTAGCGGTTTCGGGTTCGGTTTCAGCCTGCGCCTTGCTTTCTCCGCGGCCACTAGCCACCACAGGTTGGTGCGCTTTCAGTTTCCAGCTCAAGCTCGAAGCAGAGTCTACCGTGTAAAATTTTTTCTGTTCGCGCCCGCGGTCTCCTCGAGTGTTTTTAGTGGTGGTGGCGCACTTGGTGGTGCACTCGAAACATTTTCTCATCAGCTGCAAATATCAATTACCCAATCGAATGATGATGATGATACGTTTAACGGTGTCCGTATTGTTAGTGCTCTTGTCGTTGGTCAGTGTCGATTCGGGTAACAACAGCCAAAATATTCCAAATAATTCACACAGCGACCAACACAACAGCAATATGAGGAATCACAACAACAATAACAACAACAACAACAACAGCAATAACAGCAACAACAGTAGCAGCATCAGTAGAAACAGCAACACTCCAAAATTCGCCGCTGCAGCTCAGCCAAGTGCTGGCTTCCACAAGCATCATCATCTCAGTGAGGAGGATGCGGCTGCCACAAATGGCCGAGATAAAAGAGGTAAGTAGTGGGGATGTCTGTACTTAAAGCGTGCGATATCAAGTTGCCGAAACGATGTCAAGGTCCCTATCAATAGCCGCTCGAGTGTGTGCGCCAATCAATGCACAAATATGTACATATGTATTACCCATTATGTATAATTCGCCTATTGGAACAACACATTAGCATGTGTGTGTGAGCAGGAGCGGGTATACATAGCACTACTACTTATGTATATGAATGCGTTTGATGGAAACACTTGACCTTTTCGTACTCAGCGTGCAAGAGAATATTTTGTGCCTGGGAGCCTTGCCGAGTGCTAACAGGTTATTTTATTATTTACCCATTATCTCCATGTTAATTCCCACAGTATATAGTACTTGTATTAGAAACTGAATTAATTGACTTCCCAGCCAATAATCCCTAATAATTATCAACTTTTCTACTTACGTAACTAATTGCAGTTTAAGGGTTTCAGTAACTTTTGAATGTTGAATACTTATACTCTGTACCTAAAAGGTAATATAGTATATTAGGTTTATTATATATTCTTGATCAGCACGACAAGACGAGTATATGTTGCCCTGTCTGTATGTCTGTCCGTCCGTATGAACACCTGGATCTCAGAGACTATAAGAGATAGAGACACACAATTTAATACTTAGTATGTACGCAGCAGCAGTTAGTTTTGTTTTTTGATGCACTCCCAACTTTCCCCTATAGACTATTTTCCGTATCGCCATTTGTATAATCACCTATATCTCGAAAATTATAAGAGCTAGAGACACCATTTGTCTATATGAATACACGAAACATTTGTATTTCCGAATTTGTGTCCTTCCCCACTAATTCTTAGAATTTCTCAATCATGATAGATCTATTTAAAAGGAAGTAATATGTTATATGCAGTTGTTGTTGTTTCGCTCAACGAGGCCACGCATAGACATAGTAATTGTTGATATTCTCAGAGTTGGGGTGTTTATCTGTACCCAAAGGGTACAAGGGTATATTAGTTTTGTGCGAGTGTACATGTAAAACACACAGAAGGAGGCGTGGCAGACCCCACAAAGTATATATATTCTTGATCAGCATAACAAGCCGAGTCGATATAGCCATGTCCGTCAGTCCGTCTGTCTGTCCGACTGTCTGTATGAACGCAAGGATCTCAGAAAGTATAAGAGCTAGAATAACCAAACTTGGTATACAGATTCTCCTGAGCCCGAGAAAGGACGAGTTTATTCATTTTTTCCGATGCACCCCCCCCCCCACTCCCCCCTATTCACGATTTTCTATAACTCCCGTAATTCTTGGAATTTTTAACTAAAATTTAGTAGACACTTCCAGTTAGAGATTATATATCCGTATACCAAGTTATGATAGGGTAATTAGAAAGAAAGTTATAGCCATATAACCAGGCCAATGCAAACATACACACAAACAAGTATGTACAAGTACACCAACACGCATAGACACGATTCTGATGTAAATGTATGTATGCATGTATGGAATATTTTATATTTAATTTAGATAATTAATTAAATTAATTTAATTTAATTAATTAATTAATTTAATTAAATTTATTTATTTTTTTTTTTTTTGGGTGGTACAGGGTATTTAAGAGTTGAGCCTGCTCGACTTTAGCATTCCTTTCTTGTTTAAAGATAGCACCTCTATTAATTCAGTTTTTCTCAATGGATTATCTATGTTAAGTGTATCCATGCAGTTAGTCGACGAATAATAACAAATTGTTCTTTAATTTAACATATTTAATTATAGAACAAGTACAAGTACATGTGTACAAAAACCACCCGACTAGTTGGCTATAATTTTGAAAACTTATTTCAATCCTCAAAGTCGTCTAAAAATATGTTTTCTTGGGTACATTTTTCGATGGGCTAAAATCACCTCAATCGTGCCACAGGGGTGTCCCCGAGGTGGTATTAATTAATTAATTAATTTAATTAAATAAATAGCCAGAGGTCGCACTGATCTAAATCAGACGAAATGGTCACGAAAACCGAGTTCAGTGGTCTATTGTTTTTGGCAACAAATGGGACTTGACTTTTACGAGAGTTCTCTTAAAATAGTGTTGAATGATCCATTAGTAATGCCAACAGCACCAGCAATGTCTTTAGTAGTTAATCAACGATTTGGGGGAAAATTTCTTTAATTGCTTAACGTGTTGTTTATCAGTTGGTCCTTGCTTTCTTCATGGATGTGATTCGTCTCATTCTCCCTATCATATTTGTACACAGTATTATAATACTATTAAATTTATTTATAAAATATGTTGTACAGCTACAAAACAAAAACGTTTATTAGCCAACTGCAATATATTAACCCGTTTGTATTTACTATATTTAAACGGCAGCTTTGTCTCCTTTGAAAAGTAAGAACATGAATTATTACAAAACTACATACCAAGTTTTATTAAAAGCCAAAAGCTTATAGTATAGTAATACATTATCAAAATCAATTAATTAATTCAAGTTATTTCAAAAGAAGTAATTTTTGTAAAGATCGTTCTTGGATGATTCAATTCGTTACGCCAAGTTCTCTGATCTTCAAACCTTTCACATTCCATTGCACCTCTTCACACGTGCGAAATACTGCTAGAAGCAATAATAAATATGCACTTTTAATTTGCCTATGCTAATTTAAAGTTCAGGACCTATTGCGAAACCTCTTCACTGGGCGCTGCATGTACAAGTAGAACGAAACAATTACATAAATTTCATTTTCAATTTTACTGCGCGGCCTGCAGCCGCAATCAGAGCTTCGAGTATAGTCGCAGTCTCCATTTCATGTTCGCCTGATGAACTCGCCAAACTGGATTCATACAATTTACACCAATAAACTACATAATATAGCATAGCAGCAACTGACTAAGCTAATAAAATTATTATTAATGCCGGAGAGTGGCTGCTTTAAGCGCAGCAGGGTTCAGATGCCTCGAGCAAAAATTTCCAAAAGCATCGCCGATCAGAAAACGACGAAGATAAGCATAACGACTAGTGGCGAGAATCTAGTTTTAACAACTTTTGGCTTTTTTGTTTTTGGATAGAAATTCGTTTCACATTCCCAGCTGCGATGCCAGTTGAGAGGAGCTTCGAGTGCATTGGTGGAATGTTGATGACCTCAGATTATGAGCGAAAAGCTGTTTCAAATGTCGATAGAAATCTACACAAATTAATAATGAAAGCATTATAAAAGTTGTGTTTAAGATGGCAAAACATTGTTAGTAAGTTGGTCCTTCAACTTGTGACATTTTGGCCAAAGAGAACAGCAAAAAGCGCGTGTGTGCGCTCTAAAGACATTTAAATGAACGCTAGCCGCGCATAAATGGACATTTAAGATTAATGGACTACAGCGTTGGAGCTGCGAGTTCAACGACTTGTGCTTTACCGAGCCACATAATAGAGGATTATTTAGAAAGTTTTTTAAATTGATTTGTCAATGAACCTCAAAAATTTCCATATAGAATTCAAATTGCGTGAGCTGGACAAGTTTGGCAACTACAGAAAATGCCAACAACTTACATGATGTATGCAAATTTTTCGATTTTTAATTTATAGATGCGCGTTTAAAAGCGTCTTGGGGCATTTGCATAAAGTATATGGAGTCTAACTACCTCATCGATATGGAGTCGAGCCTAAAAGCAGCTATTTATCACGATTTGTGTTAGTCCCAAAGACAGAAAGACTCCATCTCTTTGTCACTCTGCTTGGTTGAATAAACGATTATTCTTTGTTTGAAGCTAAAACCACGAGACTTGCCCACAATGGTATACAAAAAATTAAAAAACTAAAAAAAACGTACTATACTTCTCTTTTTTGTGTGTTGGATATTCTTTAGAAACCACTCAGGGTACTTAATAGTCAGTTAAACTCTAAGTTCGATGTTACGACCCCTAATGACAGCAAAGAGGCTGACCATTATTAAATTAAGAATGATTGAGTTGAAGCCTGACATTGAAAATGAACCGATTAACTGGAAGTTGTTGCTTTTGTTGTATCCGTTTGCAATTATATGAGTAAACTACCAAATGGTTTTTGATTATGCGCACGCCCCGAAGTGCGTCAATCATAACCACAGTCACAGCCACAGCCACAGCTGCAGCCAACGGGGCGTATGAGTTGCTTTTCCAATCTGAGTTGTCAGCCGTACATAACGCATACGCAATGTGGGCAATGCCTGAAAGACAAACAGACAGTCAGATAAGACATGCACGTAGAGGCGCACCAAAATCGTGTAATTATGTGCACGTTACAAAATCGCAAGTTAATCTGGAAACAATTTGAAATTAAAAACCGCATCTATGGAATGTGGAAGTCTTGTCTTGGACTTAGGCGTTTAGTTGCCACTTTTTTGTTTGTTCACTCACTCCATCGTCGGAATTGGTCGGTCGTGTGCTTTTCATTTGCACTACGCTTGCGAAACAAGTCGTTGCAGTTAGCTGGAAAAATCTTTTGTGGAAACATCTCAGTTCAGATGACCTCTTTTCAGCCAAGCGGCAATTACACGCGCAAGCGGCCCTGCAGATATGCGATATTACGAGTAGACGCCGACGCAGTTGTCGGGGGCCTTTGTAACAGCAACAGATGCAAGTCGACATGATTTACTGTTTGATACGTTTTTGCATTTTCAAGGTGGTTCAGCATCCTCATGCAACACACGCCACAGCGCCAGAAAGCGAGATAGACACAATGATTTATGTGCCTGAGCCCCGTTGAATTGGAAATGGTTGACTTGGTAACGACAATTAGCCAACAAACGTGGCTACCTTCTGCCTTCAGTCTGCCCCCAAGATACGAGTAGATGCATATCAAGCGAGACACAACTGGGTTATTCTCAATGTTGCCTCAGCGTGGCAGCATAAAATAATGGTAATGGTTATATCTAGCTATTGCTGCATGAAATCAATAACTCGACTAGAAGGAACAAGCATCGATTGAGCGCATTCGAAAACCCATTTTAGGCCATCACGTTTCGGACCCGGCCGCCCAACTTCAATTTCCATGACCAATTGCCGCTCTAACGCGTCGCTGCCAACCATCAATGGACAATGCCAAACAATGGCACGTAAATTGCACGAACTGTTCAAAACCGTAATGACAACTTGCGTTGTTCAAATAATCGTCATAATGAGTGCAATAATGGTCCAAGGATTATACGAGTATTATGGCTTATTCAGCGTGATTTGTTAGCTTGTTGAGAACAATTGTGAGACACTCTAACAAAGAAGTTATTATATCTGCTTGTTGAACTATTGTTGTCAGTTGTTGTTGTTAACATTGACGGCATTTCCTGTTCAATTAACCGACACCTGCCTAAATAGCGTTCCATTTGAATAAATGACGAAAAGAAGGCCTTAATTACACGTACATACAAAACGCATGTTACCGAAATTCAATTTGAACAAAAACGGTTGGCTATGGCTAAGAAATCGGTAATTTAACCCCATGCTCGAATTCATTGCCCGAAGCAAATCTACATTTGAGTGCGGCACTCAAAATGCAATTGAGTTGAACTTTTTGCCATTTTGAACATCTTTTGAAATGATCCATAATGATTCATTCGATTTTGTCTTCGTTCAGTTGTTTCTTGTTAGTGTACAATTGTTGCAGCTTAGTACTTTGTTACCAAACAGAGCCAAAGATCACAATGCATTACCAATAGCATGGGATGGAAATGCATTGCTCATATAACTTAAGTATATCAGAAAAATACTTAATTAATGATACTCCAAAGATTGTTTTTGCACGTCATTATTTTCAAGTCCTTTACCAATAGAAGTTTATTTACAAAATCAGTGGGCAATAGAAAAAACAACGGAAAAGTAACTCTATTTCTCTTTTCTGGTCAACAAATAAGAAGAGATGAAAATTTAGATGAGATTAGATGAGGAATAATTGAATTTAAGCCAAAAAATTAAATTACAATGGAAATTTTCTCGAGATTAACAAAAGGTTTCTTAAACTTATTCTATAACTGTAGCTTTATAATCCGATTCCTATTATAATACTTAGGAATCATCTTAGGGAGTCATTGCTTGCCATAGTTTCTCCAAAATTCGAACCCATTACTCCACATAGTTTTCTTCTTAACCCTAATCCCAATGCGAACCTTTTATAATCGTTTAATTGTAGAAGTGCTTTCTTTAATTCCCTTTGCTCTACGCCAGATATTTAGAACTTCGAGACGAGTGCCAATATGGGTTTATTAATTGGCTTGTGAAATAAATATATATATTTTCAAATTTATAAAAATGCTACGCAAAATTGTAAATCAACTTTAAAAAATAAATCAATATATAGAAGCAATTATAAAATTAAAAACTAAATATGAGTATACCTAATGTTTTTAAAATTAGTTAAAATATTTCTTGCTTGATGCCTAAGGTTAGTGAAAATATGAATGAAAATGGTTGAACTTAATCTCTGTTCAATAGAAAATTCATCCGTTTCTCACCCCACGAAAATTTGTTATTGAAAACTTAGCCTTGTTTTCGTAAGTTCCCTGAATATTCTCTACCTTTAATGTAGCCGATCTATTAATTTAAATGTGTCTACGCCGATCGCCCTTTTACAATTCAGTTACCATTTTGTATATTTTTGTAATTTCCCATCAGTTGTTGTTGGCTTATTATCGCCATCTCTCACGCATTTATAATTTAATTCCCACCGTATTTTCTATAGCTTTGCCTCCGCTTCAGATAATGGATATGATGTTTACCTTAGGGCAATCGAAGCACAACCCAAACATTATCATTTCTGTCCCACTAATCGATCTGTGTAATGGTTAAAGCACAGTAAGTTGTCTAATTAATCACCTGCAGTCGACTTCCCCCCAACGAATGGAGCAGTTTAAGGCGAGTTCCAAGGAAATACTTTAAATACGTACTCAGACAAATGTCAGGGTGGACGTGGACAGTATTTTGTACTGTTTAATTAAAACTTGCGAAGCAAGACGGCGCACAATAAAACTCATAAATGGCCTTTAGCTAAAATGACAATTAATTGCATAATAAATTGTACTTTATTTTGCGTTATTAAATGAAGGTAAGCACACACGAAATTGTTTACATATGTAAAGGTGTTTCATAAATGAAGCAGCGACACGAGCAATCAAATTATGGCCCGACATGCGACTTTATGCTGGCCAACAACAATACATATACTTGTAGTAAAAAGCGAAGGCAAGTTATGGGTGGACTGTGGAGACTCATTAGCTTTTAGATTGGATAAATAAACAAACAAGAAAAGTGTGGGCCAAACGAAGTGCGACTTAAAAGCGATTCGTCCGCACTTTTATAACAATATTTATATCAATTATTTTGAAATTCCAACTCATCATTGCGAATGTGAATCCCAGAGCCTGCAGCGACGGAGGCAATAAAAAATCTCGTATGGCCTTGACACAGTTATAATGGCAAACGATCAATCTGTCATTAAAACATATGGCGGTCTTGGAAAAAAGGGAAAGATTGAGGGAAAAAGTAGATGGCAGCTTAGTTGGTGAAAAATGAAGTGCAGACCTACATACAAACATACATATGTATGTACATATGTGCTTGGAGTAAATGCCCCAAAAAGCCCCGCTGGACCGCTTACAGCGCAACCAGACGTATTATGCACTCGAAGAAATAGAGAAAGTTTCCTTTATTTAGCAAATGTTCATTTTAAACTAAGTTGAAAAAAATATGACATATTTGGTTTCATTACAAACAACAAACCCTTGTGAACATAAAAAGAATAAATTATTAAATTACTATAACATAAGTTAAATCAAATTGTATTACCAACATGATTAAGTATTTTCGAATCATACTGGAATTTTAAGGCATGCAATCAAGATATCGAGGAACAGAAAACCAAATAAAGCGGCCAAGTAAAGCAGTAGTTTATCAGCAGACTGCTGAGAGATAAGCATTGTAGCTATCCGAACTATCTAAATAGACAGATAAACCTTATCAACTGATAGAAGATGACACAATACATACTATTTAGACATACACACCTAATTCTGTTTTAACACGGTAGATTGGTTCCAGGAAAAGTCGTGTAAAAAATACATTGATCATGTATGTAATTTTGAATCGTGCTAAGGGGAATAAAATAAATGTTCAAACCGTGTAAAAACAGAATTAAGTGTAATACATAAATAAAGTGAAAACGGTTTTGCACATTTTGGGAAAATGTTCTTTAGCTGCAACAAATAAGAGGTAGTAATAATTTTTTGGAGTGCACCCATGGACCAGTAGCTGAATTAACAGCAAAGTCAATTTGCCTTTTTTGTTTTGTTTTGGCCCTGAGCACTCAAGAGTCGGCCAGACTTTGTGCTTTCTGGGGGTTGAGCGTCTGATGGACGCGTGTCACAGTAAGCGGGGCGCTTCAGTTCGACATCATCAAAAATTCATTACGCCACTTGAATAATTTGGTCTTACTCGTTTTTAATTGCTTCATTTTCGACACCTTGTTGGCCATCGCAGCATGGAGTGTTGGAGTCGTGGGCACTTGTTTTCAATGGGGCAGCTATTGTGTAATTACAAAACAGCAACGCACACACATGCTTACGTGTATTCGTAGTACTTACCCACTTTTATGAATATTATGGGGGCAGTCGGGTCGCTTGCATAATTGCCACGCACAATGAATTGATTAATTTTTCAACATTTTGCTTTTAACGTTTCAATTATTTCAGGTACCAACAGTTTTCAGTTGGACCAGAGCGAGATTGCCCGGCAGAATCAGATAACGCAGCAAATCTTTGCCAATTTTCTGGAGCGACGTCTGTTTCCCAATCGCACCGTCAATCAGAAAATACCCACCATAGCGGACATTTTGCCCAAACCGAAGCCCTCGTCCCGACCCCGACCGCGTGGCTTTGCCGCCAGTGGTGGCGGACACTTCAAACGCAACAGCTTCGGCAGCAGCGGGGGCGGGGTGCAGCGCAATCGATTGGCAGCAGCTGCGGGCAAACGACAGGCGAGCAGTCATCGCAACCGCTTTGACGACCCGGATGATGAGCCTCTGGATCAACAGCCACAGGCCAACACACAGGACGACTTTGACTACGAGGGCCAAGAGTCGTTGCAAAGCGTCGAATCGGAGCAGCACGATCAGTACTATGGCGATATATTTCATCGTGATCCCAGCGAGAATGAAATCGATAGTGTGGGTAAGTGAAGGTCGTTGCCATTATGCCGTCTCATCAATCAGCCAAAAACAAGAAGCATAATTGATATCTCAAGCATGCAGTATCATGCAGAGCAGTGCATGAAAACTTATTAAATTCAGCCCTTTAATCGTCTACTAAATTTATCGGTTTTAGTTCATGACCCAAACGTCATCATTTACATAATCATCATCATCGTCAGCATCATCATCCCGACCACTGAAAGTTTTGCATATTTGCATTTCCAATTCGGGCCGACGCGACGGCGATGCTGCCGCACTTGCAAATTTTTCCAATTAACGCCATGAATTTGTTTGCCCGGCCACAACTCATTAATACTCTCGGTAACGCTAGGGGTAGCATGACTTTATAATGATGTTTGCCAATTGCAAATAGACAACAATTTATTGTAGTTGGGTAGGAATGCCGATAAACAACAAACTGATAAAGAGAGTTGATATGCCACCAAGTTTGTGCTTTTTATTATATACTATTGGATACACATATCCATGTCCTTTTTACCAAATAGCGAGACATTTCCAAGTAAGTGCAACTCTATTTAATTTAATTTGAAAACCAACACGTGGTTGCTTGAGCTTACGTTGATGTTAGTCGACATTAGTACTCCGGATAGCTCTGAATACTCGAAAATGAAATGTGCAAGATTTTCCGTTTTTTGCTCCAATACGAATGCAACAAAAAACCCATGCAAATCGGACTATATTCAGCTGAATTATGGAGAGCCTCCCTTAAGTCAAGATTATGGTATATATACACTAGCATTTATTAGATATAATTAAATTTATTCGACTTTTCTATTAAATGGTTTGTAAACTAACAACAAAATGAAGAGGTTACGTAAAAAAGGATGGATAAGGTTAATTAAAATGTATTCAATTTATTTATAGTCGGAAAAAAGAATCGATTTCAGAATCAACAAATATTTATCAATTAAAATTTAGCAGTTTGTTGAATGAGTCAAATCAAATCACTTTCATCACATTAAATATCGGTTTTATGCAACAGAAAATTGATTGCACAGTCGAACACTGTTTAGCGAATCTGAATTTGGCGTTTCAAAAATTTGTCTTGTCTTCGTACATTAAACACATTTATTTTAAATGAAATTGTTCTGATTTTACTTTTCCTAACTAACTATTTGAAACAACTCTGTTGATGTTCTTTCGAGTATGCTTAATAAAGGGTACACAGCTTTCTGCATTTGGGTGCTTAATTTCAGTAGCTGCACTTAGCGGAGCAGCGGGTATACAGTGCGTATGATTAATGCACGAAATAATTCAAGCAACTACACCAACGCGGCGGCCATTTACGCGATTGCCATGGCAATGTTTAAATTTAATTTATGCCTTATTTTGGCACCCTATTTACATGATTTTACTCTGAATGCTCAACTTTATTTATTTATCTTGTTTTCATTGCCCAAACCGGCTGCGAGGCCGATTCTTCCTTTTCCTCTACTAACTGACCAGGGCATAATACGTACATACATATGTACGTGTCTGACAAGACACAGTTGATGGTGCCGACATTTTATTTAAACGCTTCAACATACAATTTATGGCCAGCCATGTTGCGTTTTTCGAGACAATATAAAGTCACCAATTCCACACAAAAGGTGTGTGCCATAAAAGTTTGCGCGTGCTTTTTTTTTTTTTGCATTGCACAAAACGCCTGCGACTATTCGACACTTTAGAACTGGTCCAATAACTCTGCCACTAGCATACATATATATGTGAGTGTGTGTGTGTGTGTGTGTGTCTGATTCGCAATTCCTTTATTTCCGCACCACGAATTAGCGCAAGTGGAATTTTTGCGCTACTCGTGCTTTGCTCTTCAAATTAAATACGACAAGCACTTGAGATAAGATTAGCATGATAGACAATAAAGCTCACGATTTGTGCCAAAACGGCAGGTTATGTATATAAATGAGAACAGAAGTGGCGTTAAGTTGTGCGATGTTACACTTCAGTTCGTTAGTTGAATTCACTTCAATTACATCGAATCAATGAATTAACGAGCATGCATACTAGTATGTTATACAAGTACATATTATAAATATGTTTCCTTCATGGTGTAATAAACCACGAATCTATCCTATTAATCACGTTTGGTCATAAGTGGTCCACAGATGATGTCAGGTACAACAATCTCTTTCGTCTATACTAAATTATATTAACTGTGAACTATAGGAAAAGCAATCGGTGCAAAGTTTCAGAGTAATAGGCTTGGAATTGAAGGCAGACAGATATCGCATTATCGATTTATAATGTTCTGCTGATATAATATGTGGTATGTGTGTACCATTCTTCCTTTTGATATTTAGATATTTAGTGAACTTATACCACTATTCTCCTTTTATATTTCTGTAGTGTAATACTATATTTTTGAGACGGATCTTCATATCGTTTTTATTTTCTGCTTAAATGCCAAAGCTGAGGAATTCAATAGATATTAATAACCCATCAAACATTCATCAGACTTTACAGAATCTTGCTTGCTAACGACTCGTATTGAACATAAAAAGACGAGAAGATAATATTTTGCAAAACATGTTTTCAAAAAAAAAAACGCGTGTTTCATATTTGATAAAATCGAAAGAAAAAGAATTGCGCCTTAGGGCGGTGTATTGACGCATTGATTGGCTATCATTAACTATCATCACAAGCATATGTACACACTGAAAGGCGCGATTAGTGTGTCCATTATATTTCCATACGTCACAATTCTAATGATTTTTTCATCATCTGTAACCGATTCTGCACACTTCCGACTTTGCTATGAAATTCCTAGTTTAATTTGTTCGAATTAAAAAATGAAAAAATGTATATAAATTGACCTTGATGGTGATAGCAATGAACTCTGCTTCGCTTATAATAAAAACCTTTTGTATGTTATAGAGGTTTGTTATTATATTTTAAGAACTACTATTCACGCACAATCTGGTTTCGATAGGAACCAGAAATAGTTGCTCGCCCAAATATCAACATCAAATCAAAGTCACAACACATTTCAAAATGCGCAGCACTGGGTGGTGCCCTTGTTTTCATGATTCTGCCTTGTTAGCTGACTCTTCTAAACACATTTAATTAATTAGCCTACAAGCGAGTCGAAGAACCACAAAGTAGACGCACGCTTGTTTCATTCGCCTCTTATTTTACATCAAGTATCAGAGCTTGCAAAACACGGAGGAGAATTACAAAAAGAATCGTTGGCCACCAACAAAAACAATCTTTGTGGTTGGCAGTACAATAAGTATGCAAATGCCACAGTGGCGGCTGCGGTGGCACTAATAAGTGCCACAAGTGGCTACCACCGGCTGCGGTCAACACTTGGCCTGCTGCATCGTCGAAGCTGCGTGGCTCGAATTGCGAGTGCTTTGGACCTGAGCTCAAGTTGATGCTGATTTGGTATTTAGACAAGAGGTTTATTTTATTTTTTCCATTTTGTGGTCGTCATTTTTCAGCAGTTTTTATGCCCAAAACGTAATTATAGCCCGCCAAAATAAACATGGTGTAAGATTTCATTGCATGCGATATGTTAAAAGCTATACATCGTAAAGGATACGACAAATGGTGAATATTTCACTCCGAAAAATTTTATAATACTATCTTGTATATTGATTCAATTTTACATACTTTGAAAACGGAATACACATGTATTCGGTTGAAATGGCATTCAGGTTCAGAAGAAGATGTTAAATATTTATCGTAGTAGACCAGAGTCTAAACAAGAGTATCAGATTTTTTTCAAAACTGCTGTTGTTAGTAAAGAATGTTCATATACTACTAAGTACTTGTATAGGACACTCACCAAAAATTTGTTGTTCTCGACAAATGAAAAAGTATCTCGAATTTTAAAACTATGACTCTATTGTACATATTTTACCGTCTAATTAAGCTTATAAGATCTTAAATTAAATTCCCTGCTTTCAATGGGCCAAAGTTAGATTAAAAAATCATTTATCAATGTAATGTACAATAATTTTGGGTGGTCACCCATCTAATGAGAGACGGCCAGTGTTTATACTGTTTCCAAGTAAATTCATCAATGATTAATATGTCAAGGTTAGACAAAAACTGCGCGACTTAAATGGTCATTGGTCGCACATGCAATGCGTCAGCAGAGAAACTTAAGCTCGCGTTTTAGTACATTTGAACGGCGAAGATGAAGTCATATCCCAGACCCCCAAGATACCCGCTCCATTGTTCAGAACGCAGCGCTCTCGCCTCTAAGAACTCGAAACGAGCAATCGAAACCGAAACCAGAATTATTGGAATGGCTACATCTAGTTTTTATTTCGCCATGTCACAGAGACTGCAACTTATATCTAGACGGAGTTAAAACCGCAGTTGCTGTTAATACTCAATCGTATCTTGGACATGTTTACGCTTGACTAAGGTTACCTTGGTCAGCGGTGGCAGAGGGAAAGGGAGGTGGTAGAGGCAGCGACACCGTCGACTGTTTGACGAACAGCAGCATCAGCGGCAACGTACAGAAGACGAGCGACAGACGGTAAAATGAATGCTGCATGCTGGGACAAGTGTGCGCTGTCCATACATGGGGTGTCGGATGTTAATCTCTAGAGCGTTTCAGTTCGTGCTGCTTTACACACCATCAGCCGGCCAATGAAACAAACAAACAGACGAACAACATCAGCAAAAAAAACGTAAAAAGAGCTAAGAAGTTGCCTTCGCCTGCGCCGAAGCCGTATACCCTTTAAGACTCTAAAACTGTGAATTTCGATACAGCGAGCTGGATTCGTTAAATCTATATTTGTTTCATTATATGCATATGTATGATCATTCTTCCTTATGGGTATTACAAACTTACATACCAAAACAATATACTTGTATGTATGTAGACTTTTCAGTGAAGAGTATAAAAAGAAGCCCCACCAAACGAGTTGGTGCGCTCTTATCTCAGCATCCACTGAGAAACTGCCGGCCCATCTCCTGCTTTAGCTCCCATTCATTGCCAATCGG